GACATGCAACATGTTTAAAAGTGTGTTCTGCAGTGTCAGCATGGCAAGCAAAAGAAAAACTCAAAGCATCCTGAATTCTTTTTTGTAATTTGCATAGAAGTCAAAAGGTTAGTTTTGTACATTTTTACACTTATATTTATTACACATTCCTTGGAGCAAAACACACAAGCATTATTTGCATATGAAAGGTCAAGAGCAATAAAAATCAAATTTATATTTTCCAGTTTTAATTGGATTACAGCCACTGAAATGATTTTTTTAAAAATTACATATCCTTTCTGTGCTTTTCATTGTTTAAACTGTTCATAAAACACTTATAAAATACACTACCAGAGACGAGTGTTGCCGTTAAAGATGTTCATCAGCTGACACCTGTGTCTCAATAAGCCAACATTTTGTTGGCTTTCAAAGCCTAAATATTCCAAGCAAGTGAAAGAAACTTGAGAGAAACCTGGTTCCAATTTAATTTTCATTCAAGATAAAGCCAAGAAATTCATTCAAAAGTATTCACATATCCAAAATTTCCAGTGTGCAAATCTGCTTTGGCCTGTACAGGTGCTGAAAACATGTCAGTTTCATTTTTTATCAGTTTATAAGTTTAAGTTAACTTGTAACTGTAAGAAAAAATGAGACTCTGAGAACTTCAGCAGCGTTTTAATGTAGCTATAGCTGTGTGGTGAAATAAACAAGTTCTCCCAGAGTATTATTCTTTTTTACCATGATTAGAATAAGTATGTGTCATTGCAAGGAGATTCCTTTTCCAGATTGCAGGAAAATGCGCTTCTGGGAGACTTACACTTTAAAAATTTCCTAAGGGAGCATGCCCCCAGACCTCCCTTGAGGTTCAGGCCTTTAACCCTTAATTTTACAGGGTACCTGCCTATTTACAAGGCAGTACCCTTCTACATCAAAAGTTAATGAAAACCCTGCTGAGTGTTTGTAAGGTGTGAAGAAAGGATGCATTTTTGTGACAGATGGTGTACAAAGATATAAGAAAATTACCGATTAAAGATGTTATTCATCTAAGCATGAGCACAAGACAAAACTAAATACCAGACCATGGAATTCTATGCTCTAATGCTCTATCACTGAGCGACAGAATATTCTATCTATGGTAAACTATAGTTCTCATCAGCTCAGTAAAACAGAGAAATAGGTGTTAGCTCTCATGATGAGATGATTCCCAACCTCTGGATTCACTGCCACAGTGCTACAGAGAAGTACAGGGTTCTCTGTGGCTCAGAGAAGCATAGAATCCAAAGGTCTACCATAATATTCCACATCAATATTGGGACTCAGGTTTCTTTACTTGTACCATGCTTAAAAAGAAGAAGAAAAAAGAGAAGAAAAAAAAATTTCTTTAATTCATTACAGTTCTTAAAATCTACCATCTTCCCTATAATCTGTTAACTCAGACTAAATGAGGAGACATATTCTCATGAGATATGAGTGTTTAGAGATATGCAACCCACCTATCTATGACACTCTCCTGTGCTGGTTTCCTTTTTCTCCTGTGATGCCCATAGCTATAGCACAATAAATTTGATTAGGGTACATCTTCCTATATGTCAGCTAAGAGATCTGACAGATTAAAGATTCATTTCTGGTCATGTCACATCTTACTTCCTCTGGTGTTTTAAAAGGGTTTAATGCATTAAAATGATTTAATAGTCAATATAACTAAATGTGATGGTTGGATAGAATCAAAGAAGGATAAATATTGGCAAGATTTTAAGCAATTACGAGTCAGTTCAAGCAAATTTTCCTCACGAAATTTTGATGTGTAAGCATTATTCAGTCAGGGTATTACATTCGAAAAGTACCATCATATTCGGTTGGATGTAAACTTCAAAATTAGCTTTAGTTTAATGCGAGTAGCATTCAATTAGCTACATCGCCCTTATTTTAAATTGAATGATTACGTTTAGGTAAAATTATTACTTACATGTTTGAATTATAGCGCCCTCTGCTTCGGCTTCTCTCTCGCCTTCGACCACGGCTTCTTGATCTTGAGCGAGATCTAGAACGTGTATAGTGATTGTTTTGGTGGGCTTATGGACAACGGTGTCGATTTAAGACACAAGTCTCTCCATATCTTGACATATCTTTGGCCGGGGAAAGGCGTTGTGCCCTTGAGACGTGCGGGAAAAAAAATGCGAGCCCGCTTTTAGGCTTAGCTAAATGTATATATTACTTCCAAAATCCGCAATGATACGGACACGAAATAAGATAATACATCGAAACGAGCGGGGAAAGTAAAAACTATCCTCACGTATCATTTTATTGTGTCAGCGGTCGTCTCACTCTAGCAATAATAAACAAGGAATAATAAACAAGGATCTGCCTGCAGTCAACCAGCGGTATCACAATTGATTACTCTACTCTGATCATTTGGGTTCCGGAGTTGAAACCTTGCAGGATTTTGTTAGAATTTACGTTAAGGAAAGGCGAATTGAATGGCAGATTCAAAGAGGAGCTAAGTACAAGGGTAAAAAGGAATGCTTTATTAGAAAACTGCAGAACTTTTCCGTGTATAATTTTTAATACAGTAAAAAAGCTGAGCTTCCAAGGTGGCCAAATTATATACTGTAACGATAGCTAAACAGGCGGTCAGGTACCAAAATATCAACTTATATTTAACCCAAGAACAGAGTTACAATTTACTATGCTAACAACATGGCCGACACACGAGGAAGCTGTTCCCAAGATGCCATGCGGCCGCAGGAAGCTCCATGATTCATGTAAGCGTACTCGTTACATATACTTTGCCGTTAAGATCAGGAATAGGTTCGTCTGTTTAACAGTCTACTGGCCCATTGAAAACTTAGTAGTTGACATCAGTTAAAATTAAGAACACGTAAGCATTATTATCGTAAAAAATATGCAGCTTTTAGAAGCTGGCCAGTAAGGTATTCTTGGCTTATTGCAGAAGGAAATGTAATGGTTTCATATTAATAATTAGTCATGGCGAAGAGCAGGTCCTTCACAATCACAGTTTGAGTTGGTGAAGGGGGGACTCAAGTGTGTTCGCATGAGCTGGGAAAACTTGGATTTCAAATTACTGCAGGGAGGGGGGAGTTGGACAGAGGGGTCTGAACATCCTGATTCCCATACCCTTATTAAATGGCTCTTGCCTCTGTTTTATTTTCATTGCAAAAGTTTATGCAATTTTGCTAAAACTTTTACCCAGTTCCTGCCCCTCTTGCCTCCAGTACACCTCCATCCCCTATTCTCATGGGTTCCCATCCCTCTGTCCCCCACCAAATAACTCTTAGATACTGGGAATTGCTTTTGAAATTAGGAAAGAAAGTATTTATACACAAACCAGTGACAAACGTGTTATACCCGAAATGCAGTGGTTTTTTTTGTTGTTTTTGTTGTTAACAGTACAAGGATATGAATTATTTAGAACCGGCCCTGTAAATTTTATCGTCAACTCCAATTCCATAATATTTTTCACAGGCTAATGCTTCAGCCATTAGTCTTGTAAATGGTTGGTAAATGGTTTATCAATCAGATTGGAACGTACAGGGTAAAGAAGGGCATTTTATCACCAGCTTCTGGAAGTGTGTCTTCAATTTTCTCTTCAGTAAGTTCTTGTTTAGTATTTTATCTTTTGCTTGTTTGTGTGCCTTTTGGTTCTTTCTTGTTTTCTTTACAATAACAGTTTCTGAAAATATTGGTTGCATGGTTCTTGTCCAAAAAGATGTTTAATGAACATGACATATCTATTTCATCAGTTTCTCAGCAAATGAGTGCCTAAATCAAGGAACATTTGCTGTGACTGTAACAAAGAAGTATTACTGATCACATTCAGTCGGTCAAATTTTAACTGACTGAAATGATTGGTCTCTTAACAGTACACCTCTTGGGCCCTTTTACTGCATGTTCTTTGGGGAAAGATGATTTAAATTATATAGCTTGCTTTAGAAAATACACTTTCTCTCAATTTTTTTCCCTTGAATGTAAATTTCAACAAGCTGAGCCACAACTCCATCACATACTTTAAAAATGAAAAGAAGACTCCCAGATAGGTTGCTATTTGTGTGTATTTTAAGTGTATGATCATGGACAATAAAAGAAAGGATTTTGCAATGCTGTGGCAAAGTTCACTCCTAAACAACTAGCATGGAAGAACTGTCCACATCTATCACAGCCAAGCCAGTCTTCATTGTCATCCATCTGACACACCTTGCAAACAAGAACATCCCTTCCTCTGCCAAAAAGTGAAGTAAAAGTTCAAAATGATTACTTAATTCTCAATTTGTTTTTTGGGATTAAACACAATACACAGTGGTGATTGTAATGATAAGAAAGGCATAATTATTGTACCTCAAAATGTGATCGTAACAGCTGCCAAACAGGTTGGATAAACAATAGATCTTGCAGTTATATTATATATGATGTAAGATTGGTTGATGTAAAAATGTAAATATTCTGATTATGTTTCTTTAAAAACTGCTATGGAATGACATCATAATGTTTTGACTGTTTAATGTCAAAGATATTGATGTGGTACCTATGAGCTCACTTATCTAATGCTTTATACTACTCTAAAGATTACCTTACAAATAAGTACTCCACAGTTGAATCCATCAGTTTGCTGAAAATGGGGTGGCTCGAGGCGTGCCCACTCTTTACTTTTCCAGCCTGTTTTGATGTCAGCAGCCTCACTACAGAAAGATTGCAACCATTTTCATAAATGCTACTGGATATAGCTACAAAAATGAGTTATGAACATTGTCTCAATATTAATTCCTGGCGATTGATGGAATCAATTAAGTTAGGTTTAGTTAAGTTTATGTTACATGAAGTCACTAAATTACTCATATATACACATAGCTGAAAAATCATAAAAACAATGTGGCCAGTACAATGGCCATTCATAACTCTCACAACAATGAAACACAGGGTCTTGCTGGGAATACAGAAACTCACCTTATGTTATTTATAAGTCTGTACAGGCAGGGATTGGAAGCTGCTGTTATTTCATTTGGATGTTTGTTTCCATGAATAGGATCAGTGTAGACACGGATAGATTCCTTGTTATCTAAAATCTTTGAACACATTTATTTTATGTCGTCAAAACGAAGTCCTGAGTCATGTGTACAATGTTCAATTTATCTAAAGAATATAATACAAATTTTAGAGATGACTATTTTATAAAAAAAAAAATTTACAGTATGAATAGCATCCTCGACTTACCAGTAATGTCCAGTGATGTCCAGTGATATTCATTGGAATAACAATTTTTTCAATTCCATGGAACCTCTCGCCCATCCGCAATCTACGGGTACTTGCCCCATGTTTCACCAACTGACAAAGGGTACTGTCAGCAGCAAAGATTTCTTGGTCGAGTTTTGTTAGTTTCCACAGTGTAGCATCAACGATCTACAAAGAGAAGCACAACGAATTTAACAACTGAAGATATACAAAATTAATCTTTCAAATAGTTACTGGAAAATAGTACTGCTCACCGTATCAGTTAACCATCCATCTACAAAACTAGGGATCTCCTCTTTAATTTTCTGTGTTTCTTTTGCAGATAAAGTGCTAGGAGGAAGAGTGGCTAGCAAGTCAGAAACGGTTACTTTGAATGGCCCTTCTTCCAGTACGGAATCGCGTATACCAGTGTTGACTTGCAAGGTCTTAACTCTCGTCTCTGCGTCACACAACTGTACTTCTGACTCTCCTAGCTGAGAAGGCCTGTATATACACCACAACAGTAGATCAAAAGAATAGTCTAAAAGGTTGATAAATCGTTCCCAACTTAACTGATAGAATATTCGAAGAGTTATGATCACTGTTCTGTATTACTACATTCGATAGAATTATACCTTGGTGAGATACGAGCAGAACTCTTGTGAATTGTGCCAGTTAGCTCATCATTATCCATGTCGTTATCCGCATCATTACACAGTTCAAGTTCATTATCGTCATCAAGAGACACATCACATATCGAGTCAACCTGCAAATAAAACATTGGCACATACAAGATAAACATTTTACACGTTGACATAAACAGTTCTTTCAATCGTTGTGAGAAGACAACGAATTATACCAACCTCTTCTAATTCCACGGCACTGTCTTTGGAATTGCCCTCAGCCCTTGTCAAGTCTACAGCCACGCCCCTGTCCTTCCTTTTCTTGCTGTGTCGTCTGCGTTTGGGAAGTGTCTTATGTTTCACCTTGTGGTAGTCTACCTCTGTAACTTTGAGCTTCTTTTTTGCAGGACTCTGTCGAAGAGGAAGGCCATTTTCAAGAGAGGAACTTTGACGGAGATCCTTTAGCAGAGATTCCACAGTCGTGATAGTATTCTCAAGGATAGCTTGCTCGGTTGTCATTGATTTTTGGCCGGGAAGAAGTGCCACTGGATTGAGCAGGTGCATCATATTCATCGGAAGATGAGGTGGGGACTGTTGTTTCTGCACCGCATACTTGACTGTAATAGTCATTTCCCTCGTCCGTTGAACTCGGTTCCGAGGTTGGTTGTTCGTCAGGATCGGCTTGATCAAAATGCACGGTGTCCAGAGTTATGAAGACGCTATTTTTGTAAGAATGCGGTAAGCTGTTAAAGCTCCACTCGTCAAAGAAGTTGAAAACAGCAAAAAATGTGTCTACAAGGGAAATGCGTTTTACGCCAGCTTTCACATTTGCAGCTTGGCTCCAACAGCTTGACAGCAAACAGCTTCGTACTGTTCGAACTGCTTTTGACGAGAAATTCACCCTTTTCTAAATTGACACATTTCACGTCATGTTCGGCAAACTCAGCAGCCCCAAAGTTACTCCTGAGGCAGTGTTTGACGAAATGAGGAGGACGGTTGTGAAGATAGTCAGGTATATCGCGCTTGAATTCACGATAAGAACCACTCAGCTGAAGGTTGGTGTCCAGGTAGTGTTGGTAGGAATCAGGGATAAACGACTCCACGATCATCACCACTATTCCAAAAACTGATTTGTCGAGTGATCCAGGCAAATACCTGTATTTGAACAACTTATTCTGCGCTTCAATTCCATTGTTGGTATTCACGATGTTGACGGCCTGTTGAACACGAAATGCATGAGCCCAACGATCGGAACAGTCCAACCACACCTTCTCGCAGTATTCTTGTACTTTGGGATTTCCCAAGTACAACGTCGACTTTCTCAGGCTTTCCACGACCTTCTTGTAGGACGTCTCCGAACGAGCACGAGCAATTACTTGCATCAGTTCTAGAAACATCTTTTGTTCCCCTACGGTCAGTCCATTTTTGCCGACTTTGACCCATCTCTGCCACGCCTGCTCGAGGGGAAAATCGCATATGTATACCGCAACATCTGGGAATTCGCTTTCGATAGCATTTATTTCCGCCATGAAATACTTTGGTTTCCACGTAGGATTCCAGCTTTTGATGATATTAAGGGCTTCCGCGATGCATTCATTGTCCTCGTTCTGGCAGAGAAATTCGGCTACAACCTTATAACCCACATTGGTGTGGACACACGAAAAACAAAGGGATCGCATACTTAGTCGTTTTGTAGGTGGCATCCATAAGTACAAGGTCACTGCCCTACCTGAGGAGAAGCCTCCGCTGCCATTCTTCTTGGTGTACGAACAAAAACTTTGTCTCGTCGCCATCCTTGACCTCGTCCCTTGTCCTGAAGTAGAACTTGGATGATAGGGAGTCACGCCTCCATTGCTCAATTTTGCGCTTTAGTGACTCTTGGTCATCACCGCAGTATTTTCTGGCGCTGATTGCTCGAGCGATATGACTTCGCAAATCCTGGCGACTGGGGTAATACCGTCGGTTCGACTTTCGGGGTTTCTGATGACCTTCATGACTTCCAAACATTTCTTTGTCGACGTACTGCTCCAAGCATTTCCGTACCACATCTGGACTAGTTATATTTTCACTAACCAGCTCGCGGATCTTGCTTGCGATTTTCGGATGGATGGAGTGACCTATTGTGGCGGCCTCACCGACAGGATGTATCTTGTGTGCTGTACTAAGGGGAAGCCTGAAATAGAATCTTGTCGTCGTTCTTAGGCGCTTTCCCGTCTGCTTGTCATCCTTTAATTGCTTGAGAATCCCGGCTTTTGCCTTCCGTAGACCTCTCTTTGACGAGCACTCTTCAGGTTCTAAAGTATAATCAGTGTACAGCTGTATAGCTCGCACTTGCAGACTTGCTGGGCAGTCGAGTTTTCTTGATCCTTGAACTTTAATGTAACCTCCGGAGCTGGCTAAGTAATCGTGTCCGGAGGTATTTTGAGGTTTCTGTTTCTTTCCACCTCGAGAATCCTATATTTTCATAGAGAAACAGAAAGTAATGATAAGGTTCTAAGCACTCTATGCCACGTTTTTGAAAATGTCGTAGCAAACCGTGTCAATAGTATCCTTACCGCCTTTGGTCCATGCAGGCAATGTCTTGTTTCCACGGTTACCATTGAGAATGGGTGGGCCAGACAGGCAATAGGAAGGTTGCCAGACTTTTGCTCAAACATGGGTTGTACTAAAAAAAGACGAAACGACCGACATCATAAAGAGAGATTTTACAAAGCTGTTACATAGCGCGATTATTGAAATATTGAAAAACTTTCCGCAAAGCAAAAAAGATGATTTTGTTTTCCAACTGAGATTTCCGGCACTTGCGACTGGAGTATTTTATAAAGAGGCTGTCGAAACGAAATTTATTAAGTTTTCTTTTTATGTTAACCACAGACCCCAGAGCCCGTTGTTTTCCAAGTATGTTAGGAAATTATCCCTTGTGTTTTATTTTATGTGTAATGAATCCTGAAAACGCGATATCTTTTTCATTATTTCAAATGTATTTTTAACACTATAGATCTTTATTTACCTTCGTATAATAATTTACACCCCAGACATCAACTGTTTTATGTTTCTACCCTCGTGTCATTCTTGGAACTTTATTTTGGTAAATTAAAGATTTCTGGAGACTCAAGCTTTCATAATTTTGGGCTGCTTTCTTTGTTTTTCAAAAACAAAGAAAAAAGAGTGCAAACAAAACAGATCCGGTCCACGCGCGCATGTTTTTCACAGCGCCTTGTCTTTTCTTCCAAACCCGTGTAAACTGTTGAAAACCTTTCGGGCCGAGGTTAAAGAAAAATGTGATCATGTCTAGACTACGAAAAACGCTTTATTAAATAGTCGCTAAATCTTGACAACCGTGAATGATTGTTGACTTTTACGACGATGATTTAGCATTTCTTCGTACTCATTTTCTCACCGGTGGAAGTTGTGCAATAGTCTGTCAACGCACGTGTGGAACGGATGCTGTAGATGCCTTCGGATAATTACCGAAATTAAAATCCTGGCCACTTGATAGCTAAATTTTATTGAACTGTTGCGACATAATATTTCGCTTTCATTTCTTCATTAAATTATGGACGTCGCATCTGGGCTCCATAAATGACTAGCATATTTCCGCCTTTAACAAACAAAAGGCAGCGAAAGGTCAAGTTGTTTTGTAATATAAACATGAAAACCCTGGCATGGCCTGCCTTGACTGTATTCGTCCTCTGTTTTGCGCAATCGTTTTCCTTTTCCCGAAAATTGCAAACCTAAAATGCTCAAAAGAAAAAGTAAAGAAGATTGAAAATACCATTTTCGGATGATCTCCGCGACCTTTCCTTGACCTCTGTTGTGGAGCGCACAAAACATGAAGAATTCAATGTTGTGAATTGCTCAATGAGATCTTCCTTCCGTTCCTCTGTCCCATCTAAAAACCCGTAACCGTAGTCACTATCAACGCGTACCTCGCAGAGGTTTGCATGAAGAAACTCGATTTCCTTTTTAACTAGCGTAGATTGTTTGCCAGAACTATTTGGATTACAGCTAAGGCTAGTAGCCCGCGTTGCAAAAAAATTCGGATGACATCTCGTTAGCAAGGCAAGGCCAATGAGCCCTGATAGGGACGTGACTTTAAGACTTTAGTTGCAGAAAACAATGGTGTTGTAAGGCCGAAATATCAACAGCATACTTCTCTAAATAAAATGTTAAGCAATTTTTCAAAAGGGTTGATGGCATATATCTTTTACTGCTGTATTAAACAATGGATGCATCGGAAAAGGCACCAGGAAGAATTATATTTACGTTTTGTAACTTGCAAAAACAATCGAGTTGTAAAGCCAAAATGTTACCAGGTTATACTTCGCTACTCAAAAAGTTAAGCAATTTTTCAAACGCTTTGACTGGAACAATATTTTTACTGCTATATTAACCAACGGAGGCATCGGGAAAGGCATCGGTGACACCGGGAAAGGCATCAAGAAGAATGATATTTACGATATGTTACTTTCAGTGTATGACGGAAAAAAAGTATCTTGACTTGTTTAAGGCGTTAATCACAGTTGGTTTGCTTTTCACTTGAATTTTGTAATCTCGACTTTCGATTCCGGAAAAATGAAAAGCTAAGCAACTCTAAAAAAATTTCGTTCCAGATTTTTATAGTTTTAGAGTCATTAATAAGTTTGTATACACAGCCTTCAGATAAGAAATTTAAAATTTCCATCAGCTGTAGTTCTTTTAGTGTCTGTTATATATATTCAATCGCCTCATTTCACGTGAAAAAGGCATATAGGAAAACAGTGAGCTTCGAGAAACAGCCAAGTTAAGGCTAATGTGTTTACCAAGCTTAAATATTTATAATCAGGGCCACTCGTTCAGGAGACCTTTTTTCAAAAGATCCAGACGTTAAAATAATTCTGTTTTCCGTTCGAAGTGTTTCTTTTCCTATTTAATGTAACAAATGAACTCGGTATGAAAACTTAACTTTCGAACCGAACGGTAGGTGAAATGTTGTGTTGGTGTCTCTGTCCCCCCTCGAAAGTCCTCTGTCTGTCCCGAAAGGTATATCCAGACAACCTGCATGGAAAAACTGCCCACAACTATCGCACCAAATTTTTAAAAAAATCTTTGAAACTAGACTGGTTAACAGCACTCTACGAACAGTAGTTGTAAAATTTCTTTATTCTCCGATGCGTTTCGTCTAACTGTCGTAGACTTCTTCAGGGAGTTTTACAATTTAACACTTAACACCTGTATTTATAAGCCATAGTTCGCGACTGGAGGGCCAATGACCATAAAGGCTTGGCCGGACCTACAAATAGGAATAGGTGAAGTTGTGAAAAATTTGAAATTTTTTTGGGGTAAGGTGGGAGAATTCACTTGGGGACCACGGTTTTGGTTTTCTTTTTTCCGTCACGCACGTCACGCAGCAAGTTACAAAACGTAAATATAATTCTTCTTGGTGCCTTTCCGAATGCCACCGATGCCTTTTCTGATGCCTCCATTGTTTATTACAGCGGTGAAAGACATATGTGCCATCAACACTTTTGAAAAATTGCTTAACATTTTATTTAGCGAAGTACATTGTTAACATTTCGGCTTTACAACACTATTGTTTTCTGAAACTACAACTGATATGTCTCTACATGAAGTATCAAATGTTTTCCCGCTGAGCACTCGTATTTCGGTCTCTTCTTCTTCCCCCACTCGTCGCCCGTGCTGTAGTTGCTGTAGTAATTCCCGCACGAAATGCCCTCGAAGAGCAGAGATGGAGAGAGGAGAGAGGCATATTAGTTGCGCATGTTCTGTAAATTTTAGTTTGATACGATAAACCGCTGTTAGGCGCCTGCGTAGGTTTCCCGCTCAAGAATCGTGATAGAAAAGAAGCAGGAGAATACGTTGGAAGAAACAATGGTTCGAGTATTCGAGACAACCTTTCTTCTCATTTTTTCTTCTGTTACTTAAATGGAAGCAGCAAAGTCTTAACATTATTGTGTGATGTGTGGAAGGAAGTTATTTTTAAAATGCAAAAGATTGTACAAACGACTTCGAGTCGTGTCTTGTGATTGTTTGGGCGATCGATGTAGATGATGTTATTTTTTAAGGATGCAAGTGGCCTGTCGAAGAGCACAAACGAATTGGATAGTATTCTTTTATCGTGTCATTGCTCTCTCAAGTTACTGGTGATCATTTGAAGTACTCACCTTCCTGTAAGCGGTTTTTAGAGCTTCAACTGTACTGCTGGTGCAGTGTACTTCCAATTTTGGCAAAAAAATAAAAGTTTACAGAAGTTTATGTTTTGTTTCAAAAGCTTTTTTTGACAGGAATCGCAACCGGCAAGGCCGATTACCAAAATAAAAGAAGGTCAATGTCGAGGAAAGAAAAGTAAGACAACGATAGTGCTACTAGAGATATGGTAGCTCCATCTGGTTAGAAATGGAGGAATAATTATGGATATTATCAGAGTAAGGTAAAGTCTTTTCGGTAAAATTTCCGCACAGCCCCATACTACATTATGCATTCAGTTCTTGGATAGAGAAAACAATGACAAAAACAATACATTGCCATTGGTAAAACAGATTTGTTTTACAATAGGATGGGACTGTGCGGAAATTTTACCGTCTTTTCAATCCTTAGTCTCAGAAATATCATTAGATATGATCAATGATGCGGGAAAATTGTGAATGATAACAAGTACTAGCTGGATGGCGATAAGAAAATGGCGACGAGTTTGTAGTTCCCTGGCCCACGCGGTCGACGTTTTGGCGTCATATAAAAACTCTCTTAAAACATATCTTTTTCATTTCACAACACAATTAGGTCATTTCGAAGAGATGATAGTTAATTTTCTTTTGTGAAAATTCACTATCGAAATCGTGTAGCTAAATCCTGTTGCGTGGTACAAATTTTGTACGCAATCTTATGAGTCACTATTCATGAGCTTGGAGGCAAGACTATATAACGATCCATATTGTGTAGTTGGTTGGACTTATTGCCTATACGATCTGATTTGAGGCAGCGGAGTCCTTGTTAAATCTAATTTAGAACATTTCAGTCGCAAAATATGTCTTAATTCATACTCTTAACCATAGAAGATCTCTGTAATCATGTCAACCGTGCAGGAGAATGTGGTTTTTCATCAAAATCATCAACTTATGCTCAGTCTCTCTCTGAAATGGATTTTGAGAGAGGAATATGGCAAACTTCACTGGATGGTGATGTAAACAGAGTTAGGAAATTGTTGCACAAGGGAAGAGACCCTAATTCAAGGGATGGCTCAGGATATACAGCTTTGGTAAATCATGTCCTTAAGCACCAATCAATTCCAAGCTTCAACTTTCCTCTCCCCCCCCCCCACTTCAGGGCAACTCATGAGCATGCAATTGTTGTCCATGTGCAGGGACAAGTAGATTCCATGCCATATTAATAGTAATAATAATAGTAAACAATGTTATTTCTGGTTGTTGGTTATTGAAAAATCCCAACTCCACCTCCATACAGGGGACACTTGTTCTGGTCCTGAGGGTGTCTCATGAAAGCAGTTCTCACACTTTCCTATTTACCCACCCCCTGCAACTGCAACTGCAACTGCAACTGCAATTGCAACTGCAACTGCACCTGCCCAATCTAATTGTGAAATAGAAGGTTATAATTGATTCTCATGGGTGAGCTGCAATGAAAGAGATTGCAGAAGAAAGGCTGAAAAAATTGCAACCTGTCTGCCTTATGCTACTTGGCTGTTTCTCCAACTCAGCTGTGAAGCTAAATGTTAGAAGCAAAGCAAATTTTGGAGTGTTCTTCATTTCCATGAAGGAAGGTTTGAGAAACCTGGTTTACTAATACAGTTTAAAAACTTGCTAGTTGTTGTGAGTGGTTTGTAAAGGAAATCACAATAATTTTTTTTTTCATCCAAACCATAGTCATTGTACTGTGAAAACAAATAAGAGTTTGGCAAAGAATTATCTATGTGGTTTATGGGTTATTTACCTGTATCTTTTTTCCTTCTTCAGATTATGCCAGCCGCAGTAGCCATGGAGAGGTCTGTCAGTTGCTCCTGGAACAAGGAGCAGATGTTAATGCCCAGAAAAGGTCAGGCAAAGTATCATTGGTACACAGAGCAGCATACTCTGGTCATATGTCAGTGGTGAACCTGTTCATCAAATATGGTGCTGATCCAAGACTTTGTGATAGTGATGGACAAATCCCTTTGCATAAGGTAACAATGAAACTGTTGTGGTTTGAAATGACTGTAGGTCAAAGTGATTTGAGATAGTTGCATTTCTTTGGTATTTTCCTTTGTTTCAGAAAATTATTGTGATTCTCAAACAAAGGAAAAATACAAAACAATGAACCTAGATTTAAATAACTTAAAATTGAGTTTCAATGTTTCCATGCAAAGTAGGCATGTGTGTTTTTCACACTGGTGAGGGAACAATTATTATATATTACATAAGAAATCTTGTTAACCCTTTCACTCCCAAGATCTTATTAGTAATTCTCCTTACTCTCTGCCATACAACACCTATGATGTTTGTTTAGAGAAGTTGGTATTGGATCAACTGATGATTCCCTAAATAATACTTAGTTTTACTCTCATCGCTTGTCTGCTTGATATTATATTGATATTTTACTTGGAGAAATTCTGGGAGTTAAATGATTAAACAATATTTTTCCAGGATGTTATGAATAGTTTTTTTTCTTTTTCAACACTGTTGAATAAGATACTTGAATAATTGGATACTGTGTTATTTACCAGAAAAGGAGTTTTTTATATTGCTTTGTCTTTTCATCACCATCATGGAGATATTACACATTCCCCCCCAGAGGAGACTGGATGGTTGTAGTTACAAGTGTGGGGTCAATGTCAGTATCTGAGCAACTGGGCACCTACCCCTCCACTAACCCAAGAAAAGTCAACTGATATCAAGTTGGGTTTAATGTTGGGTTAAAGGAGAGAAGGGGAGGGGAGGGGAGGGGAGGGGAGGGGTTAGGTGCAGTTGCTCGGATACTGAAATTGATCTCAGTGTGCTGGGCAGTCAAAGAGGATGTGATGTGATCCTCAGCTAAAGAGAGTGAGTTAATCTCCACAATTTCCTGAGTACTAATTCCGAAAAAAAAAATTGTAACAACTATAGCCAAAGAAAATCCACACTCCCATAGGAAGTTGCCTGTTGGCTCAGGTTGTGAAGCACTGGACTGCCCTGCAGAAGGTCAAGGGTTTAAGCCCCAGACTTAACCTACTCTCAGGGTCTTAAAACAACTGAGGACAATGTGCTGCCTTTGCTCTGATAACTGCAGATGGTTAGACATTCTAGTCTTCTTGAATAAGGATAATAAAGTGCATCTTCTATCAACTATTTAGCCGGGGATGTAAAAGAACCCATGCACTTCACACAAACTTATATCTCTCGGTGTTGTGGTCTGACCTAGTTTCCAAATATTCCTATATTGGGGGCACCTGCAAAAAATTCTCTCCAATGTAAACTATTCAATGCAGTCTGGGCATAGTCCCCTGTAAAGTGTTTTAAAGCCCATTGGAGCACTTATTTTCATGGAGAATGCACTATAAAAATGCATCATTATCTCAAGCATCATCACTATCAGGCCTCAATCCCATAATGCAACCTCTATATTATCAAAGGCATACCCAACATCTTCTTACTCTACCTCCTCAAACAGCAAAGGACCCACATTACCAGATGCATTTGTTGGGACATGCACTCCCTCTTAATGTTGGTCTCAAGATAGCATAGAGACATTGGCAACTAACAACATTTGAAAAGGGAGAAGGGTGAAAGAATATCTTAAACGTTTTTGAGGAGAAGTGTCCCAACTTATTAGGCCAGGGAGTATAGGTTGTACTTTGGAGTCAACTTTATAGTACCTAAACTTACCTTGCTCTCCATACACAGTCTCTCACAGATTTGTGATAAGTAGGACTTCACTTTCTACCCAATTAAACAAAATAGCTGGTTAGGGAATCAAATACAAATCAATGTATGAGCTTACAGTACTATTTCTTCCTTTTGCCTAAATTTCAGTATGTTGAAAAAGTTGCGAAAAGGAGTTTTGAGATTGCTTGTCAAGTTGGATTCCAGTCTTGTGAAGGTGAAAGATAACAATGGAAGATACCTGCTGACCTGGTATCCTCGAAAGAACTTGCCTTGTTAAATATGCTCAAGCCACAAGAAACCAAATTATACTGGTATCCAACTTGCTCTTAACTAGGTGTAGTTCATTTTTAAAATATAGAACTGCTTTTCGTGTTGGTTTTCAAGAAGTTTCTTTCCCTTTTTTTAGGATTATAGACTACACCACAGTCAGGAAGTGCAGAGCACAGAGACAATATTTGGCTCTTACGACACTATTTCCTTGTCAGTAATAAAGGAATCAAGTTGAGAATTATTTGGTGGATGAATGACTTTACCTTGGAAAAATCGTCCGCTTAGAAGTGTCAAAAAGTCTTTCGTTGTACACATCAACCGCAACCCATACGTGCAGCCATTTCACATAATTGTCGGCCATGTGAAATGCAAATTGTCCAGCATCAGATTGCATCATGAACTAGATCATGGACCGGATCATCAGATCATGGATCGCATCATCAGATCATGGATCACATCATGAATCGGATCACAGATCGGATCACAAATCAAAACAAATTGAGTTGAAAAATAAAAAAATCAAATCGTTTAAGACATAATTACACAGGAAAAATAGGAGTCAAAAAACTATTATGTGTTGCTTAAAATTAGAAATGTTGACAGGTCAAAATAAACCCTTTACACCCTAATGTCATTATGCATATTCTCCATACTGTACTATATACATTTCCTGAGGTGCTGACAAGGAGAATTTGTTTACTGATCAAAAGCTTCTTTTTGTTGGTAATCATTTTCTTTATTCTCGTGACCTTCATGTGTAATTTGGGAGTGATATTGTAGGGAGAAATTAGATGCTAGTCACTCTCAGGGTTTAAAGGGTTAAGAAGGTCACGCGAGTTTTCTGGACCAATTACGGAGCGAAGTAAAGCAAAACCAAAGCAATCGAGGATGACTTTCGACACAATTGAAAACTACTCTAAAAATATTTTATGTTTATTCTGGAACTTCAAATTTATACTACACTATTGAATTAGAGGGCTAGCTTTACTACAAAACCATTCACAAACCCATTAAACCAAACTTAGCTTTTATTTGTTTCGCATGTTTTACAAAATAATTCAAAAGCTGAAACTAGTTTCTCCATAATTTTTGTCACTAGATACACGAGTCTTAGACTGGTCCAGTTCCCAGACTCCGTTATTACTGACAGGAGTACCCTGGAACTGAAACTATGCGTAACGCTGAATTCAACAGCGAGCACATGAACGAACAAATGTGACAATGTTAACTACCTATAAAAGATGCACTGCTTTAAGTAAAATCTACATTTGATAGGCGAAACATTGACCTAACTGGTTAACGGAAACAGCCAAGGAATTCTTAAAATGTATTTACATTAACATATCTAGCAAACTAAGAAGACTTATGAAACCTGGATGACGATGACTGAATTTTCCAGTTTTAAATAAGTTGCGTGGCTCTCTTGTTCGACTATGGACGAGATTCAAATGGGCGACCATTGGATTTTATCTCAACGTACGTGAAGTACCATCGTCTTTATGTTAGTCTGCGAGCAGGCTCCTATAAGTGGGGCCCTTATTATTGACGTTTTAGCACGAGCCCGCGTTAAATTATGAGGTCTTGAGCTACACGAGTCAGCAAAAAGTCTGCCAGCACCAGACCCCCAGCAAACCTCTCCCCGAGTGATCACAAATCTTCTCGCGGGAGGAGAAACGTGTGTCCTGCAGCACTAATAATAGGGGCCTGATCGCAGGCTATCTTTCTGTTTTTAACTACTTTCGGCCAACAGAATTAAACTGTACCAAAGTTAACGTTACTTCGTTTCGTGTAGGCATAACCTTCGAGGTTAAAAAAGATTTGGAACTTCTATGCCCTATTTTTTCGACATGGTTCACTCACGAGAACGTTTGTTTCACTTCTTGTCAGTCGCACATATACCACCAGGCTTATTCTTTTTTTTTTTCTCAATGTAATTCATTTTCTATCTAAAGTGAACAACTTAGCAAGAAGCACCAACCTTTGGTGAACTCACCGACGAGCGCGCGTTTCATTTCTCGCTCGACCGGAAAAGTCTTTCCTTATTGAAAATTCTGTAGCAAATTTTTACATATTGGTAATCTTCTCTTGTCGAAAATACAACGCGAATATCGCTATTTGGCTTCTTCGTAATCCACTCTCAGAAGTCCTTGAGGGTGTGCGCGTATTCAATGACGACCCCATTTTCATCAAACCAAATAACTGACGTAATTTATCTCAGGTGCTTTTTCCTCGGGCTCAGATCCCCGCGGTTGCCATTGATTTGGAGGTAGTTCGGGCTCCGGGGTGAGTGTGTTTCGTGACGATCGTAAAGATTCGGGTCTCCGGAAACCGTCTGAGTCCTGCGACGGAGGCCTAACGAGTTGTCCATGAATATTGATGTACGGCTATAACATAGAAGAAAAAGTAACGGAAGTATTAGAAAACTCTCGTAAAATGTTTGTGAGAAGAGTGAATTTTCTGCCTTCTATGAAGCAGAGTCTCATAACTGATCTTGCTTTATTTTTTCTTTAGATTCCCATTGCATTATTTGTCACGCAAAGCAGAGTTCCTGAGAGAATAAAGCAACAAAACAACACACGCTTAACCACACGAAGAGAGCAGTTTTCGATTGAGTATCGAAAGTGAACCTACATTGCTTTGGTTTTGCCTTACTTCGCTCTGTGATTTGTCCAAAAAAAGTCGAGCCGCCGTCTCAACTAATCAAATGAAAAACTGACCAATTCCAACTTGCTTAGTCAACACTCAATTAATAACCTGCTCGAAAATGACCTGAATAAGGTGAAAACCTAGAAATGCACACACTGGCCACATCTATCGATGTTCGGTTTTACCAAAGCAGAAACCCCTTGAGACTCAAGGGTAGTGGAGGTATCATTTCATACTCTCGTTTTAGAGGATCTTTAAAATAACTTGGTTAATTGTTGTTGATGTTGTTGTTGTTTTTTTTTAAGAACTACAGAATATCACCCTGCACAGACCCTCCCGGTATGTACCTGTCTCTGTCGTCCCGGTGAAGAAGGTGGATGGTAAGGCGCAGGTCCGTCCGAGTCATAGCGAGGATCGTGGCCGTCTGGTGGATAAACAATGTCGCGTAAAAACATAGGCGGCTCTGGAAGGCCATCATCTACATTCAAAAAAAGAAACACCATTAGGAAAGAAACAAAGCAGTAAAACAACAACAACCACATGACTAACAAAAATAGAAATTAACAGGCCGAGTGAACGATGACGAGTCAATTCAAGATTGAAACGCTTTACATCGTGCAACGTTTATCTCCAAATGGAGACAAGGGTCCAGGGGCCCCTCTGAAAACCGCTGTGGCGATTATTATTATTATTATTATTGTTATTATTATTATTATTATTATTATTGTTATTATTATTATTATTATTATTATTATTATTATTATTATTATTATTATTACAAGGCTGGTCACTTTCAGGGGTCAAAGGGTTAAATATGGAAAATATTAAACAAACTTGAGAAAAGTTTCACAAGATCTATAAGCTATGTATGTTACATTCTAAATCCATTTTTAACTTTACAATCTAAATTTTCCTGCACTGTTTTGTTTTGTTTTTGTTTTCTTGGCTGCTGTTAGTTACATATTTAATTCAAATCAGTATTGGAAGATATCATCCATGTCATAACAATTTTGTAATACCTATAAAATAATACACAGTATCATTCCCACTCATTCAGAACAATTTTGTAATACCTATAAAATAATACACAGTATCATTCCCACTCATTCAGAACAATTTTGTAATAGCTATAAAATAATACACAGTATCATTCTCTCTCATTCATAACAATTTTGTAATACTTATAAAATAATACACGGTACCATTCCCACTCATTCAAAGTCGGCTGTGAGACGACAACCTTACCGGGATAGTTTTGATAATTATTAGAAATCGGTCGGTTGCTAGGCAACATAGCCATAGGGGGTGGTAGGTCTGGGGGCCCCTCATTCGGTGGAAGATTGGACGGATCATCCAAATCTAAGTCGTCGCCATCATGCACTGGGAGGTCCTCGAATGATCTGTCCTCAGGGGTGTACTGTGGGGGAGGCCCTGTGTGGTTGGAACAAAAGAAAACTATATCAGCTTGAGAGCGTATTTCGATTACCTTCAATAGTAGTGGCCAATCAGAACGAAGAAAAACATCGCAAGACCCTGTGACATCTTAAAGTGAAAGCACTTTAAAAGAGACAAACGCAAGCAACCAAATCGTGATCTGAAGCAGTCTTAGATCTTGTTGATTGAGGAGGGTGGGGAAGGTAAGACTCTGGAATCTCACTCTGGAAAATGAAAATTACAACCCACATCAACTTTTTCAAAACATCCTGTCACCCCCCTCATATTGAGTTGTTGTCAGGAAGGAGAGGGAAATGTTTCCGCTGCTGTGACTAGTACTGTAACTAAACGCACTCCAAGATTACTTTCAGCGCGTGCTTGAAACTGGCTCACATGAAGGCAAGGGCAAGACCATCTGTTCAGAACTGAACGAAGAATGCAGTCTGACGAGAAATACTTAGTACTCATGTTCGAGAATTTTGTCGCAGTTTTTCTATGCTGCTCTTCGCTCACTCTTCAAAGGCACGATTTTCTTTACCTGGGTAAAAGCTAGAAACCAAGGTTTGAACATTAATGCAAACACTTCTGTCATAAGCAAAAATATCTTTATCACGAATGACAGTTCATCTCGAAAACGAAAAAGATCAATTTAATTTTTTTTTGGGTGTGTGTCAACCCGTAGTTTCCAGAAATCTTGAAACAAAAAATTAAGAATTAAGTTGCCTTCATTTTCTTGAAGATTTCAGGAATTTATGAATCTTATCAAATACAAGTAACTAAGAAGTTAAGTTATTGTTTTAAGTTTGTACTAACATCCTTTATAAGAGTCTTTCCAGAATGGAGGCCCATACATCTGTGGCGGTGGGCGAAGCCTCTCTGTTGAACGACAGCATGTTTTCAAATTTAATTTTACATTTTTAAATAGTTTTACTAAAGGTTTAAGTGAGTGTTAAAACGTTATATTACGCTGATTAAAAGTACCATCATCGAAGAGCTGGCACTAATCTCTAATTGGCTCATAACACTCGGAAACTGTCCGGGTATTTCATGAAGATAGACCGATGATGTCACATTCCGAAGGAGCTGTATCACGTAATATGCTTTTCCCGAGTTTTACAATGAAGGTGCCAATCGTCAACAAAAATTTTCGATTTACTTTAACAGCGTTAGTTTAGCATCTTACACTCTACTTTAAGGTGGCGAAACGTGCGAGCAAATTGTTATTACGGCTATTACAATTTTAAAGAAATTTTTTTGTCCCAGAAGTGCAAGTGGAAAAAATTAAACCTTAGAGTTAAGCGAATTACTATTAATGATAATCACAGAGTCGTTTCGTGTTAATTGAATTGTAGTACATTAATGAAACATGGTTAAAGGCTTCCCCCAATAAGTTTGTTTTTCAATCAAAAGAGTAGTTATCCGCCCAACTGAATTAAGGTGAGTCATTTATACATTCATCACATGCGAAACGTTTAAGTGTTAATCAGCAGATTCTTTCTCACAAAACTTTTGAAATAATATTTCTGTAAACCCACGATACTTGGTAGTTTTTTTTACTGATATTGTTATTCCGCAAGCTGATAAGTTTGATAATCATGTTATTGTGTTAAAAAAAACCTCCTACCAATCGCTGGCTCATTTGGTTCACGGCGAGGTCTCTTAGGTTTGGGTCTCTTCTGTGGCAAAGCATATGGCACCGTAGGATCAAGGGGCCCATTTGCAGGACGACCACTCGGGTTAGCCCCCATTGGCAACACCCTCGGCCCCATAACACGTCCGTCCCGGTCCACTGCGGCGTAACCTGGCTCTTCAATGGATTCTACATGTCTGTTGACCAAACCAAATCAAATAGTAAAGAACAAAAATTAAAATGATGCAAAATATTTTACGAACAAAAGGGGTAACATTTCATTGATTAATTCTGAAAGGTGAGGGCATATACCTAAAATAAATTTTCTGCGGCTTCTTAACCAAGTATAAAGAACCTTACCAATCGACATCGGTTCACCTAAGACCCAGACCCTTTAACGGATCCTAATCCTAAGCTAAACCCTGAGCAATTCTCTAACATCAAACTTTAGACAATGACAAGACCGTATATTACTACGTACCGAACCTAAAGTATTTAAAACTTTCTAGTCTCGTGTGGCATTTTTAGGCTCTGGTGTAAAGAAAAGAAATTCCTGTATTCGCTGAATCAAAGTTTAGACCAGCCCTACAAAAAATTCCTGAATTCATCCCTGTTCATTCCTTTTGGTTCCGAAAAATACAGAGCACTTTAAAGTCAACCTAACGAAGAACTACGCTTCAAAAAAAAAAAAAAGGACAAATTTTTACCTCCGCCAAGAAAAACCACATACACAAATTTACTCAACACGTTTTGCGATTCCAACGAATAACTAAAAAAAAAAAATTGACTTGAATCAAGCACTAACCTTACTCTCGGGGGAGGGGGTGCAGACCTCTGAGGCGTAAACCGTTGTTCTCCATCACTCGAGTCTGTGGGCTCATCAGCTGGTCGAGCTTGTCTTGGTCGGCGGCCTGAATGTCTTCCCTGCCCTGGTCCTGTGAGGTCCCCTGTTGACTTCCTGGTTTTGGGTTTCCTTCCTGACTGCCGCATTGCCTCTTCAAACGAAGGTGGTTCATGGTACGGAGGCAGTGTGCTGAAATCTCTCTGGGGTCCCCTAGCCGAGTATGCTGAGTTCGCATCCAGTTCACCAGTGCTTTGCGCCAAACGGCCGTTTCTCACCATGCGGGAGCCTGGATTGAGTAACAGTTCAGGCTGCTGTCGAACAGAATCTAACAGAAGAAAAGAACTTTTATTCTAAACTTTTTTTTCGTTGTTTGGTTGCATGAATCGTGTACTTTTCCCAAGCAGCTTAGCTGTGGATAGTCAGCGAAGTTCGTCGCACAAGGTACAGCGCGTTACCATCAATTTTCTTTCCATCAATTTTTCTTTCATGGATGTTCTTTTCACTTTTTTCCTTTTTTTTTGGCGACCGACTTTGCCGAACAGAAAGGACTGATCGTCAGTTTACTGTAAATATGTTTCTTATGTGCGAATGAAAAAAGAAAATAGCTGCACATCTGTGCACACAAAGTCGAAAGCACACAAGCTATTAGAAGCCTTTACCTTGTGACAGGTATCCAAAGTTTACACCCTGACTGGAGTCTGGTTTTTTCTTTTTTGCCTCGGTTGAGTTCACAGACTGCATTGACGCAGCTGCGAGGAACGGATCATCTTCCACCGACTCCATACCGTAGCTACGCCTGTTTTCCAGGACACGTGTCACATCGGGGCCACCCACAACATAGCTGAGTAAGGTAAAGATGACACACTTGGCGTGAGAACATTGCCACAACAGTTCTAACATGTGTCAACTTTTTCGGTATAAGTAATCAGGCACGTATGTGTGTGTTTTGCTTTAAAACTTTATGATTAAACAAAGCCTTTTGTTCAAAGCTTGCAAAAGAGCAAATTCAATATCGTTTTCGACACAGAACGCTCATGGACATAGCTGATCCTAACAATAGACACAACACCCGCCTCATATAAATCTGGTTCACGAGCTCAGTTCAATGTAGGGAGAGCATTTGTCAGCCTGCCTAAAGTAACTGACGGCGATTCGAACCCTCATCAGGGGCTTATTCCATCCTCCATGTGTACTACAGCACCTATATACCTGTAAAGCGCGTGTACTTCGTGCGTGGGAATAACACGCGTTTCAAGTGCGTATAGTACCACGTGTGCGGTCGCAAAATTAAACGCGTGTAATAGAACTGATCAACCGTTCCTCCGACGGAAAAAAAACTTTAAGATTTATCAATCAAATATTCAAATACATAAATATTGGAAGAGCCCTCTTACTTTGTAGTTTGAGACATGGGAACATTATTAGCTGCAACAGAAAGAGAGAAAGGAAAAATTAATCAAATTACATTTTATCATTTCAATAGAGAGTTTCATATACGTTCTTGAAAATATTAGAGTAAATAACTTGTAAATGGAGCCTCACAGAGTGTGGTCCCATAAACCTTCTGATGCCACAAACAGACCGTGTAGTTGCTTTTGGATAAAAATTCGTACATAAAGCTTGTTAAGGAGTTGCAATAACAGCTGGGTAGCGGGTACATCTAATCATTGGCTACCCGCTCGTGGCCTTTTAATAAGCGTCATTCTACCGCGAGCTTAAGGTAATTGTAACTTCTCGTCAAATTGGTTGACATTTACGAAATACGAAGTAACAAACTAGAATAAACCTTATAATGCAGGAAAATACCACTGAAACAGTCTTAACCTTCAAAATTTCCCAAGGGAGCCCAGATCTCCCTCGGAAGAGGAAGCCCTCCAGGCGCTCAAAACTACCCGCCTACCATTCAAAATACCCACTTGTATCCAATTTTTTTTCTTGTATAACCACTGTCCACACAGTCTTATACTTACCCCCGTGTTCCTTCTTCCGACGCTTAAAGCAACACAATGCAAGGACGACAATGGCCAGGAGAAGAAGACCAGCAACTAAAACAATAACAGCAATCATCCAGTCCTTTAACGGTTCACCATCATTTCTTGCTCCTGGAAGAGGGCCAGCCGGAACTAAAAAAACATTGAAACGCATAAAAAATCTTCCTTGAGGACAGAACGTGTATAGTAAATCGCATGCAATCCTGGCGCAAAGAGTAACTCACGGTTTGTACCTTTTTGAACAACAAACTTCAACGACTTTTCCAGAACTCAGATTTATTTTTTCTCTCTCTCTTTCATTCCCAAGATTTCCGAATCAATTACCCTTACGGTCTTTACATATTCCCTACAACGTGAATTCTAAAAACTTTACTGCCTGAGTTAAGCAGATTTCCAGGACTTTCCAAGATCTGCAGTCTTTTTCCAAGACTTTCTAGCCCTGGAAAATGTTACAATAAAATTTAAGGACTTTCCAGGTTTTCCAGAACCCATAGGAACATTGTGATTTACGGGCTGGCATGACTGATATTTTAAGCCGGCTTCAAATTCAAAAGAAGCCTCCTAGTCAGAGCTGGTGTTACCTCTCCCCGACTCGTTTCCAGTCTTCCCGAGGGCGGAGAAACGCGCGTTCTGCAGCTCTCATAATGAGGACCTGCTCGCACGTTAATCAAATTATACCACGTACCTATATCACTATACACATACGCCGGAGAAGACTCCCCTGGTCGTCTCATATCCATTCTAAATCTGTATGAACTGTCAGCTTTCAGATCGCTCACTTTAAACTCTGATACAGATCTGTTCAGCTGAAAGGCTCCCTTGACAAGCTCCCACGAGCCCTCTCCTCCCTGCTGAATCTCAAGAGTCGCAATTGTTACTTGATCATCTGCTATCGTCCATTCCACCAGTATGACAGAGGCGTCGTCTGATGCTCTCAAAGCTTTGACTGAAAGAAAGGACAAAAGAAGGATAATTTAGCTGACGTGTAGCTATATCCTCCCTCCCCCCCTGCAAGGTAAGGAAAATTCTACTATGAGCTATGAAGGCGTAAATAGTCTACATGCAAGCCAAGTTTCCCTGCTAGCTGTAGCAGGAAGGTGTCAATGGCGTCAACAGTTAGCCATAAAACGACCAAATTTTTAAACCTTTAGACGTACAATTTCACAGATTACAATCGCTAATGCTAAAATATTTTCCAAACATACCAGTTCCTCTGTCCGGAGGTATCTGGGACTCTAAAAACGAAAAAACGAAAAACGATAAGAACAGCAGTCATTGCCATCACGTAATATTTCATAACATTGCCAAACATTCTATGATTTACTTTTTTCATATATTTTTTTTTGTTACCTGCTGTTTTATACTCCTTTGGGTCTGACGGTTGGCTTTGGCCAAGTTTATTAGAAGCTTGAACGGTGAATTCATACACTGTTTCCGGGTAAAGTCCTGGTATAGTGTGCATGTTGTTATCTGGGTGACCAACAAACTGTTCCACAAAGTCTCGGTTGCTTTGTTTGACGCGATAATGGATTGTGAACTCTTGATCATATCCTCCACTGTATCCAGGTGTCCAGCTCACATTAACGCTTACAGTTTTCGAATTTTGGTCTTGAAACGACTTCACGTCCACATTAATTGGTTTATCTGGAATCCCTGCCAAGAAAGTGACTCTGTTTCAGTTTTAAAAGATATTTTAGGGTGGTGAAAATCCATTCATTAGACCGCTTGTAAGCAAGAGTCCCACTTAGTTTACACTTGAAATTCTCCTTCACTGGCGATGGATGGCTGGGGTGGTGATTTGCTGTCTTCAAAGTGCTGCATCACACTCTAGTGAAAAACCTCCCTGGATCTTAACCAATGTCCGACGATTGTTTAACACCTGCCAAAGACCCTTGCAGACTAAGACCTCTAAGGATCCTCAAATTAATTTTTCAATTTTTTACAGTTTTTTTTTTTAAATTAACTAACGATATGTTTTTTTTTTTAAAATACTTGCTGCTGATAATCTAAAGGTGGGATTCACATTTGTAAACACAGACATTTTGTATACTTCGGCCAATTTCTTCCTAGTTTTCCTGGTATCACACCATGAAACGTTACGCAAACCTCAAAGATTGATAGTCGCCAATTTTTTTTTCCTTCTTGAGACTACAATCTGATGATCACACAGACAATTAGAAAAAAAAGTTAAGCTTAGAGTCCTACTGACCTCTTTTCCTTATGGTGTATTGCTGGTTGTCACTTCCCAGAAGATTTACAGCGACGCAATAGAAATGTTCCCCTATTGCACTGACTGTAACCTTCAATACACTGGTGTCTCTCTCCTTTGTGATACTTTTCACTTTATCGCTCAATGAGCTCAGATCTTGTCCATTAAGTTGACGTTTCCATGACAACGACGGTGGAGGTTTGCCGCTGACGATACAAGTTAAATCGACTTGCTCGCCTTCATCACCAGGTATTTGGGTGCTTGTAGGGGTGGATGTGACAATGATCGGACGTGCTGTTAGAAAGAAGTTATTCTCTAGTTTATCCAAACTGTGTAAAGCATTTTTCTGATTGATCAATTGTTTCTGCTTTCTGGTGATTTACAATCAATTTTCGCGACTATGCGACCTTTGAGGGTTTTTTGACAAACAATATTTTAGCCTGCACACTCGCTTCTTTGCCGAAAGCAACGTAAGAAGGCCAGCGGTCTGCAAGGAATCTGGCAAACCACTTACAGGCCTGTTACCGGCTAGCGTTGCCCAAAGCATTAAACTTATTTGCAGGCGAAAAACCGGCTCCCACAGCAGAACCAATGACGAAAACCTGCTCGTCGGCTAACAATTTCACTGAAATTGGATTCCCTAGTTTCAAACACAAGACACTGTTAACTGGATTTAATGATACATCCACTGCTGCCAAAGATCAAATGGAAACACTATTAAAACATCTAACGAGTACGAGAACTTACTCTGGACATTAAGCGTGATTCCTTCCGAAACTTCGCCAAGTTCATTTCTAGCCACACATCTGTAGGTTCCATCATTCTTGCCACTAGTGTTGCGTATGGTGCACTGCTCACCTGAGCAATCTAATTTATCACCTCCTATCTTTGTCCAGGTAATTGTTGGCTGCGGCACTCCCTTTGCACGACATATCATTGTAACATTGTTTGTTTCATTAACTGTGAATGCACTTTGATAGAAGGTGATTGTCGGTGGATCTTTTGTAAAACAACAACAAAATAAGAGAGATAAGTGACAAATAAAAAATTACCACTAGTGATGAGGCTATTAAAACAATTTTCCATGAAGAGCGCAACAAATCAGAGATTGCTTTGCTTTTGCTTTAACTTGCTTTGTGATTGGTACAGAAAAAACTCGTACCACTCTCTGAACCAATCAGATACAACACCAAAACCAATCACGAATTGGTCACCCACGTTTTCCCGCGCTTTAGGCGGTTTGATTATTTTTAGTTCTTATTGGCACTCAACCCATGAACTCTTATTAAAAGTTCTCATTAGTAATTCTCCTTACTGTCTGCTATGCAATTCTTATGATCTTAGTTGAGAGAATTCGGTACTGGATCAACTAAAACATCCCTGATTGATATTTTTCTCTATTCTCATCATTTGTCTGCTTGATATTGTATTGATATTGTAAGGAGACATTCTGCCTTGATCACTCATGGGAGTTAAAGGGTGAAAGGTATTTTCCTTACTTCTGATTGGCCATTGAAATTACTATGGTTAAGGTTTTGCAACACGCAATTGAGAAGCACTCGAAAAAAATAAATATAACATACGCTTAATAAGTAATTGTGCTCTGGCAGGAGGTCCTTCTCCTAGAGAGTTGGTTCCAGCACAGGAATACCATCCTGCATCAGCCTGAGTCACTGAAGCCTTTGTGAAGGTTGTTGTCACGCAGGCACTGCAACTTTCTCCAGGTATGTCCACTCCATTGAACTGCCACTTTTGTGAAAGGGTGGGCGGATTGCCAATGGTTTTACAAGAGAAGGTTGCTTCTTGTCCCTCAGACAGTGTGAGGTTTTTCGGATGATCAGCATCAGACTGAACAACTGGTCGATCTGAAGATTTAAAAAAACATCATTGAAACTCTATCTCAAAAGTAAATTGATGCAATGGTCTGATACACAAAGAAAAATGCCGAGGTTACTTACTTTCATACATCAGTGACCCAAGTTAAATTAGCAATAAATAATAATCAAATCTAGCACAAATCACTTTCAAATTCAAACGAAAATTAGACAGCTACACAAAGCAGGGGCATAAAATTTGGACTCAGCACTCTGTCAATACCAGCATTACAAGTTAGACCCTGGAATGTGATTGAGTCATGTGGCCCATTTAGTTAGAGCTTCTCCCAGTTCTGTAACATGACGCAGCTCACAAAATTGTCCCTCCCCCTAATTGAGATGCTATTCCAACTCAAGATCCCCCCCCTGCATTTCATCGGGTTCCCACTGATACCCATTTATACTCTTGGGTAGAAAGAGGATCTGCAAGAGTAAAGTGTCCTGCCTAAGAACACAACATAGTGACCCACGTCAGGCTCAAGCCAGGAGCTTTTGAGGCAGATTCCAGAGAGTTGACTGTAAGGCCATTGCACATGTCACCTACTTCTATAAGGGCGAGCATGTACTAACAGTATTTAAAAGAATTGGGAAATACTCTGACTTCTAAAAGTATAATTCACAGAGTGATAGCAAAGCTGTTAATTAAAAAAAGGTATTGTTAAATAATTTAAGAAAATAAAGTACAGTATCAGTGTCTCAGTTGAACATCAACATGATCACAAGTCAATCACATTAAAAAAACATATCCTAACAACCCTTGAAGAATCAACAATTTTGCAACCGGTCTATAAGAGTTTTAATTTAACACTACCATGTAATGTACACATACAGTGATTTTACTGTGCTAATTGCCCTCAATTATATGAATAAGGCGCAAGAGATTGTAGCAGAGATTGCTGAGTCAGAATTGGGTTCTGAGGCCATACATGGCATTGCATAAAGACCAAACTCAGCATTTTCCATCATCTTGTGAGAAAAAAGGATGGTTGCTATCCTGACAAAAATCCCTATTCATTTGATAAAATACTTACAGCGCACTTCAAGATCTGTGGTTTGCCTCCTCTGACCAGCACTGTTGAAAGCCACACAAGAGAAAGTCCCATTCTGCTGCCAGGTTACTTTATCAATAGTTAGATAAGAAAGAGTTCTCAAAAGTTTAGAATTTTGAACTGGTGCAACTTCAGTTGTGATATTGTATGGTGTGCCAGTCAAATTTTTTTCACCCAGCTTCCAAACAATTTGAGCATACGGTTTGGCTTGAACTGTGCATGCGTAGTTCACTGTTTCATTTTCAGTCTTTGTTTGTTTGTTTGGCAAATTACTCTGGAATGATGGTGGCACTGTAAAATAAAGACAGGCAAAATATGTTAATTAAATTAGTTTTGCACAAGATAAAATCATGGCCTCACTTCATAGATTTGTAATACAAAAAAAGTAAAAGAACTTTAAATACAAAGCTACATATATTTCTGGCTGTGGAATTAGGCGAACAACAGCTTTAACATGGGAGATCAATTGAAAAAAAAAATTAATTTTGCACAAGATTAAATCATGGCCTCACTTCATAAGTTATACTGGAAACAAAGATCAATTGCCAAGGAAATGTGCATGGGGTGTTCATTTGGCAATGGATATAATCACAGAATGCTACACATTATACCCAGAATAGTCTGGCTAAATTTCTGAAGCCTGACCTTTCTATTTATCTTTCGCTTTTTGTACAGACCTAGTAAACATTTTGCTTTCACTTCATAACACAGTGAGTGTTGTCAAGGAAGACCCTGGATATACACAAGTAACCTTTACATTTTCCTGTTTTTCACTGACACAAGTTTGGCACTTTTTGACATAACATTTTACAGAAATCTGATGTGCCACTGTTTTTGAACAAATCAGGAATTTTGCATTTATTCTGATTTCTGAAAACTGTTTTTTTCCTTCTAAAAAACTGTGGTTTTACTTCACTTATCCATGGTGGTTGTGTGTTTTGCGAGCACTACATGTATTTCTCACCTATTACTTTGACTCTCAATGATTTTGATGGCCCATCTCCAAGTGCATTTCTTGGCACACAGTTGTATGAGTTATCCTCCTCAGTAAGCTGCACATTAGGAATTGTGTATCTTCCCCCTGAGGTGCCAGCCAGTGGTGTTGTACCTGACGGTGTTGTACGTTGGATGGTGTATGTTGGAGCAGGATAGCCATTTGCAGTGCAAGTAAGAGTTACACTTGTTCCTTGCACAGCATTATTGTCAGGATTCCCAGTTGTAAAGGTTGTAACAGTTGGTTTATCTGTCAATTAGTAAGAGAAGCTCAGAATCATTCTTAAATTGCATGTTGTAATCAGACACCCGTTGAGCCACTTTATCACCTAATCAACTAGATAAATTTGAACTTTTTCTAGAATGTGTATGCTTCAGCCAAAATGAAAGATATTTCCACTAGAGCGATGCCTATGAAAGATATCATCTAGTTAACGAATTACCAAGAGAAGTAACGAGTAACCTTCACCCTTTCACCCCTAAGAGTGACTAGCTCTTATATCACCCCTGAGTCAAACATTAAGGTCTCAAGAAGAAAGCAAATGATCACCAACTAAAGAAGCTCTTGATTGTTTGACAAACTCTCCTTATCAAAACCTTAAGAAATGTATATAGAACAGTATGGAGAATATATATACTGACGTTAACAGGGTGTAAAATGTGAATTTATAAATTGTCATCTCAAATGACTTTCAGGTCAACATGATTTTAAAATTTTTCACTGTACCACACTAGTTTGAAATAAATTTAACCTGCATCATATGAAAGTCTGTTTCAAACTTCAAAAGTTCTTCATGGTACTGAACTTACATCTCACATTCACCAGCCTTGTTTCCTGAGCACTACCAAATGTATTTGTTGCCACACATGTATAGTTCCCTGCATTCAACACTTGGGCACTTGCAAGTTGCAAAGTGTTTTGTGAGTCTCCAATTGCTCCTCCATTAAACTTCCATGAGTAGAAGGGTTTTGGAAATCCATCAGCCTGGCATGTGAGGGTTAAGCTTTGACCAAGTTCCACAACTGCTGGATTTGGATTCACTGTGACTTGCTGAGGTGCATCTAGGATGAAAAAGAGGCAGTATGAGCTTACACCTGTCAGTGTACCAGTCTATCCTTACAAAAAACAAAAGACACAATATAGCATGCAGCAACCCAGAAATACTTCAAACATGGAACATCTCATGCAAGGGTTTCGAAAGTAACAGGGCAATGGGTGGACCTACCCAAATAAAATGCGCTACATGTAGCTACCTGCTTGTGGCCTTCACACAAATTTGTAAGTTGTCCTCCTAATATACATGTACAGGTACAGTAATTATCTTCAAATTAACTCATATCTAGGCACATTGCAACATACCATAATGGTTTGATTTTGCACCTGCGGTGCTTATTACTTTTGTTACCTCTAGGGAGGATGCTTATTCAGAACAGAGTGCTTATAAGAAAAAAGGTGCTTATTTCTCTTTTGAGGAACAACAACATAGTGTGCCAAACAAAACTGTGATATTTATTTCAGGGGGATCAACAACACAAGAAAAAAATGTGCTTGTTTCCTTGGATCCTTCCTGGCCAGAACAACCAGCCATGCAATCTCTGAGAAATTTTGAGACAGCCTCATTACTTTGAACAACAGTGTACTCACATGGACATAATAGTTGAGAGACTGAGTAGATGACCAATATTTTTGTAATGAAACTTTACATAAGCAATTTAAGGAAAATGAAGCATGGTCGATCTCAATTCACATGTAATTTAACATTGCCATCATTGAAACAGAATAGGGGCACTTAGCACTTATTGGAATAGGGGAGTTTTTCATGAAAAGGTCCTCACTGGATTGAGGGTGCTTACTCAAAATGGGCACTGACTAGAATAGTGGTACTTGTTGCCCCTTATTGGAAGGAGGGCACTAAATATAATCACTGTGGTAAATTGGATCAAACCTAAAAATGCAGGAAAATGAAACTGCAGGGGCCTTCACCCCCAAATTTTCCAAAGCAGCCCAGAACCCCTTGGCAACAAGAGGCTCTCCAGACCTTCTCTGCCTGCTACTCTAGAGCACCCATTGGCATCAAATTTTAATTAAACCAGTATCATGACTTGCACAAGATAGCAAATTCAGCAAACATATTTCACAAATTTACAACACGGTCCAGTTCATAACAATTAACATAACTTACAGTTGACCAATAAGAAAGCAGATTTTCTATCTCCAGTTCCTACTGCATTTGTACCATCACACGAGTATTGCCCAGCACTTCCCTTCTTAGCATTCTTGATCCTCAGTCTGCTTTCTGTATCGCTAATTTTCAAAGTTTCAAAATCTTGTGAATTGGATATCTCAGTGCCATCCTTAAACCATTTGTATGTAGTTGCAGTGGGAAATGCTTCTGTGAGACAAAGAAATGTGGCAGTATGATCTTCCATGACAGTTTGATTACTGCTCAAACTGTTTGTTTTGTGCACAGGATGGACTGTAAGATAAAAATATGAGAACATTAAAGGAAATCTTTATCATTGGTTTACATAAGGATTAAATGATAGAGCTACAGTACAGTATACATCTGTTATAGACTGGACTTTCTATTGGTTTCCCAGCCTAATATTACCCACACAGATTATGTAACAAAATTGTGAGAATTGTTTATCAACCACAAACTAAAGATGAGAGTTTTACAAACTTTTCTTGTGTTCTTCCAACATCTTGAGTGGGTTTTTACACCCAGTAAATAAGTAGAAAGTTAGATAAACTGCTTTCACAGAATGAAGTTAAAATGTTTCAATTTTCTATGGGTTTAAGGGTGCAGTAATCGATAGTTTTTTTTCAATCAATCAGCACTTGTAATATCTCAGTTATTTACCCCTTTAACTCCCATGAGTGACCAAGACAGAATTTCTCCTTAGAATATCAATACAATATAAACCAAATAAATCATGAGAATAAAAAAAAATATCAATTTGGAGATAATTAGTTGATCCAATACCAAATTATCTGAACTAACTTTTTAAGAATTGTATGGTTGACAGTAAGGAGAATTACAAATTTGATCTGGGAGTTGAAGGGTTCATAAACAGGAATAGTCACAACAATTTTCAATCTTTCTCAAAATTACCTTTACATGAACAATTGACAAAATGATCCCATGAACATGAAGAAAATGTTTTAACAGATGTCCTGGGAGATAATGTTCAGGGCTGACTGTCAACGACATTCATTCTTTGTATAACAGGTATCATAAAATGTCCTCATAGATAAAAATTCAACTAAAGACCACATCATTTTGACTTTTAACTGAAGTATTGTGAAAATGTGGTTTGTTTTGAAATTACAGAACACACCAAAAAAAGAAATTAGGTGAACTTGAATTCAATCCTGGACTCACAAGAAACAGAGTTCTGAAAGTTCAAAACCTCTTCTACATGTTATTATTCATGCATGTCTTTGTTGGCCATTTCAATCTGAGAATTGTCCCTGATCCCCTCTAAATAATGTATATCAACTGTACATGTATGTTGTCCAATATTTATTGCATTCAGTCTTGGATATACATGTACATTTTCAAAAGATAAGTACACATGCAATTGTTTGTCTCACAATGTGGTCACTATGCTCGTGGATCGTGATGTTTGAACTGCATACTGCTTCTCTTTTTTAGGCCATGAGGGAGATTGTGTAATTGCATCACCTATCAACTGTTGTGCTCAGCTGTGACTTTTTTTCTTAGCAGTTTATCACACGTTTCTTTGTTGGGCATTTCTATCAATTTGTAAGCTGGTAATTTCCTCAGTCTTACTACCCATCTATTTAACATTGTCAGTATCACAATAGTAAACAAAATGTATGAAATAAACTATCCAGGGAAAAGAATAAAAGTAGGTATTGTGAGTTGACTTACATCTAACTGTAACCTGAACAGTGTAAGAGTCACTGTACGGGCCAAGAGTTGGAACATTAACAACAGCTTCACATCTGTACGTCCCTGCATCATTCCTGCTGGCTGATGTTATTGTGTAGTTGGAGTTATTTTGATCTTCCTGAATCTTTACACTATCTTTATACCACCTGTAAGTGGGTTTGGGGTTGCCACTGGCCACACAAAACAATGTTCTTGTGGCACCTTCATCCAAAGTTGGAGCTGTTGTAGTTTTGAGTGTAATTGTTGGGCTCACTGTGTAAAACAATGAATTTTTATTAATACAAAGGTCAGATAATCATGGGATTATTACAGCATCCTAAAATATTTTTGAATTACCAGATAGAAAAGTTTTAATACTGGGGTTCAAATCTGTCCTAAAGCCTTGACACACTTGACAATTTTCATATTCTTATTGCAATGATCAGCAAAAATTACCAAGTGTGCTTGACACAACAATGGCAATTTCCGTGGATTGCTATGATAGGCATGTAGGATTGCTGATACCTAGCATGTCAGATATCACTGATTTTTGCTGGTAATCAAATTGGCTGCTTGCAATCTGTGGAAAAAATCACCAAGTGTGTCACCAGCTTTAGTTAAAAAACATCAAAACTAAGAAATATTTGTGCCACCAATATTAATAGTAATTTAACTTAGTTGAGGAACTTACCAACAACAACTAGTTTAGCAGTATCCTGAATCACAGGAGGAACACCAGAAGTGAAAATCACTTGACAATCAAAATCACCGTTGTCCTTTGTCTGAACATTGGATATTCTAAGTGTTGCATCCCCTGATACTTGATACTGTGAATTGAGAACGGAGACTTGCCCATTTGATTGCTTAGAAGCAACCCAAACATTATTGTGAAGCTATATTACTTGACTGACTGTTTTCCCATTTCTGTTGAAATTCCATGTTAAGGATGCAGATTGACCCTTTAACTGATACTCGGGACTGTTTGGTTTACTTGTGAAACTTTGACTGTCTGGAAATATACAAAGGAATAAAAAAGAAGTTTTAATGACTGTATAAGGATAAAAGACTATCGAGAGAAATTCACAGCTTGCTTTACTCAAAGGTACCAATTAGGAACTCAAATCTCAAAACATGGTAAGTAGAAAATTTTAATCAAGTTTTTTTTTAAGGTGGAGATGACAATTTTTAAGAGTTGGAGCATTCTTCTATTTTAACCTTTTAACTCCCATGAGTAACCAAGACAGAATTTCTCCTTACCATATCAAAATAATATCAAGTAGACAAGAGATGAGAATATGGAAAAATATCAATTAGAGTATAAGTAGTTGATCCAATACCAAGTTCTCAGAATTAAAATCTTAGAATTGTATAGCAGGAAGTAAGAGAATTACTAACAAGATCTTAGATATGATAGGACAAAAAGAAGATGAGAAGCACTCAAGAAGTTTACAGAGCTTGAAAGATTTGTAAGAGTTGCTGCTTACATAGGTGAAAACAACTCTAACCTCCTAACAGCAAAGAACTGTCTAAAACTTTCCAAGTGCTTTTTATTTCAATGAAGACACTTAATTCAATAACATCCTCAACATGGTATTTTAAAAGTTGTACCAAGAGAAATTGCCTCTACTACTAGTACACTTTACTCATTAATTTTATTATCAGCAAGTATATTGGGAAGATGAAGTGGGCTTGCTTATCAAAATATTCCCAAAAAGAGAGCCAGTCATTTTGGAATGAATTGGTGGAATGGAATGGGTACCCTGTGCCACATTTCAACCATTTATGCAAGAATAGTGGATGAATGAAATATGTCCCTTCAGCTTTACACAGAGCAAATAGAACTTGCTAAAGCAGACTTGAATGAATCTTGCACTGATGTAGCATAATGATCAATTTCTACACAGCCTACAAGAATTACCCAAACATTGAATGGTTTGCAATCCTAGATTTACTTTAATCAGATTCCAAACTTAATCAGTTAATATCATTAGAGCATTTGTAACAGCTGCACAGTCCTTGTTTTAAGTGTTTGATAAAATGGTTTCACTTAGTTGGCTTCCCAAGTAGCGATTGTACAGGCATGAAAAATAAATTACATTTTGTTATAAGCGGTTCACTGGTCACCAAAGCCGATGGCAAGTGATCCGTTGCTTTCATTGCTCAACTTTTTTGTATGATAATAACTTTCATCATGAATAACACTCCTGTTTGGTTTACGTTGGAGCAAGACTATTTTGAAATCAAACTGGCCGTACACTTTCAAATCAGCCAATATATAATTATTCGCCCAATTACTCCTCATTTGCTCAATTTATCGTTATCGTTACAAAAGCACGGTGTATGACGAGTTTACAATATAAGACAAGTACAAAATAGACTTGATGTAAATTCGCTGCAAGTTTGAAGAAGACTTAGTGAAATGCTCTTGAATCTAAAACAAACAAATAACTGCTGGGCAATACATTCAAGTTAAACCTAAGTAAAATGTGCTGAAATTAAGAATAATTTTTAACAAACTGGAGGAGATATTAGCGCATAATAAGCTGAAATCCGTTATCTGTGGCTTGTAACAAGCTTATATATTCGAAGTAAGATTAGATGGGAGAGCCGAAACCTATACAACGCAAATGACATGAAATATTGAGCTAACAATGTAAGGCTTTACCTAAATAGTCAACACAGGTACAATAATTTACTCCCTTAACACAGAGTTCATGTACGTGTGATGTTAGCAAGTTACCAGCCACGTTCACGATTGTTTTTGGTCGAGCATGCCTCTAATCGAGGTGTACTTAACAGCGACGGCACCCTCAAATAGGGCTCATCAAAATGACAAGAAAAGCAATCAATATAATTCCTAACTTCCGATCAAAGCAATTTATTTACTTCTCAATTTTGGAACTACTGAAAACTCCTGAGAAACTTCGCGATTGCATAAACATTCAAACTCATCGAAGGTCGAGTGCAGTACACGAATCGTGCGTATGTTATCAATATTACTCACCTACAAACCGCAATCCACCGATAGATAACAAAGCCACGAGTCTAAAATACACCATAAACATCTCTATCACCGTTTTATGGTCCTAACAAGACTTTCGAAAATACGTTTGAACGTCACTCTCGATTCACCGATGCATGTTTTGCACTATTTTCAGGAAACAGGGAAAACAATGCTTATCAACGGTGGATGCCTAAGAGAAACCTCGTGACCAATAAGAGAGCATTCTGGAAGTCATGTGATCCGTATTCGAATGACCTCAGCATTGTGGGAGTGAAAATGATGGATAAAAATAACAGTGATGAGCAAAATTGAATGGAATCTTTGGAATGACCACTTAATAAATTTATGACTCGCCCGGAGGAAATCGGGTAGGATTTTACAACCACGGTCACCAAATTAACGCTTTTAATCGTCGAAAATATTACAATGGACAAATGAACATTTACACTCAAGTTTTGTATTGAACACGGAGATTTCACGCGATGAAAACAGTGATCTTACAGGCGGGAAAGATTGCGTGACCAGGTATTTGGACAAGTCTGTAATATTACAAGTAATATTGCGACAGTAAAGAAAGTAGAATCCAACGGTGCCTAATATTGTATAAAGTTCGTTTTTCTTCTTTTTCTAATCGGCGTTTTATGTTTAAAATCTTAGGGCTCTAGAGATCAGGGCAAGTTTAACATTTGTATTGTCGGCCTGATCGCGACTAAGGGAGATTTTCCGTATAATTTTCATGCACTTTCAAGCGGAGAGAGGATAGGAATACAGCGAAATACTAAATAGCGGATGTTGTTGAATTTAGAAAGCTAATTTTAGGGCTAAAATTATTAATGGTTTATGATGGATTGACAAAAATTATTTGTTAGCCGTGAAAGGGTCAATGGTTTCTCATTTTGGACTCGTGGCATTTAGTTGACAGATTAGCCGAATGTTTCCGTACAAAAGAAACATCATTGACCGATCACGAATTGTTCCGGAAACCTACACAAATTTTAGCGCATTTCTAGATACAGTGTCCCGGAAACCTAAGCAATTATTTAGCACGTTTTTAGATACGGTGTAAGGTGCGAAATTCATCACGTCCCCAATCACGAATTGTTCCGGAAGCCTGTAAGATTTTCTGGCGTTAGCAATCAATGATCTGAAATATACCTTAATACAGGTCAATAAGATGAGATAAGGTGCTATTACGTCTTGAATTACTGATTAGCCAATTTATTCTACAAGATGGAAGCTGATAAGGCAGTCGTCCCGCCAAAGCTGCATAGACCTTCTTCCCCGGGAATCCTCTAGCACGCTCATTAAAACAAGCAAACAACAAACAAAAATCTACCACTGCTGATATTTTGAACCTTCGATATTTCTTGATTCATAAACAAGTGCCACAGCGATTTTACAAAATTTGCAACTTCCCTCTCCACCCATTTTTTCGGGTGCGTCAGTCTTCTGCGGCATTAAGTAAAGTACAGGATTATGGTAGATCTAAAATGATTGTGATGCCAGCTATCTATCCGATTTTTAATCGGCTTAGCTTATTTAACTGCTCGTATTGTCCTGATTTCGTTAACTAAGTTCCAGAAAAATAATTTTATTCAAAATGTTTTTGCTGAGTTGGGTTCGACTCAAAGCTGGCAGACGATACGGATTGATACTCGCGATAAGTTCAGTGACTTTCGATTCTACTCGTGACCCTTCGGTGCTTTGTCCCATTCGGTCGGTCATCGATCAAAGACGAACGTCGCACTCGTGTTACAGTCGTTTGCAGTGTCTGCGTTTTACTATCGGGTGTAAGATCAGACAATTTCTCGCAGTCATCGTCTGCTCTGAGATGGGACTGGTTTTCTGAAAGTAAAAGATGAGGAAAACCGTACACTTCTAAGAGACGTGAACAATCCAAGAAACAAAGCCGTGAAAGGGAAGAAAAAGTTCTACCGGGTTCATGGAACCTTGCCTACCGAAAAGGCTGTTTCGGCCACAATTTCGCGATCGTCATTTAGAGATGAATTTCTCAACGATATATTGCAAATTCTAGATATCCAGGGAAAACGCTAGCAAGAGGAATATGTGATGCCAAATGATCTAGATTTAATTGTAGTCTACGTTTTGACCTATACAACAAAAAACTATGATCGAAGTTTCAAATTTTACGAAATCATTACGATAACACAGCAAAGATACATATTGAGTAAATCAACATTTATTTGGAAAATTCTTGTACCACAAATTAACTTGGTTGAAAAATTGTGGATGGCAAGGTTAAGCTTAACATTCCAACTATCTAAAATTATAAAGGGGTAAGTTTCTAAAGAAACTGTGATGCTGCGTCGGTGGGGAGGTGTAACAAGATCATTTGGTTGTAAATAGAATAAGAGAGATCGTAAGTTTTGAGCTCGGTAGAGAAATAAAAAAAGATGTTTTTCGTCTTGTCACGAGGGCGGGACCAAGATAAAATTCTAAGTCCCCACGAGGAATCGAACCTCAAAGCTTCGGATTCCGCGCTCCGATGTTCTTCCACTGAGCCACAGAGACTCTGTGGTGAGCGAGGCCTATTTATGGAGTTTTCAAAATAATTTGGTGTTATCAACTCAACTGAGTTGATAATGTAAATTGGCCACCGCAAAGAGTTTCAGATCTGACGTTTTGAGCGCAAACCCTTCGTCAGCCCTTTCTGATCCAAAATTTTATTCCTATTTGTACTTGCAGTATTATCTAATTCATTCTTCTTCCAGACTTAGTCAACTTCTAGCATGGAGCATTCTCATTTGCCCTCACTTATATAAAATAAAATTCAATGTTGGGGGATTCGATGCCAAACGGGGTTCTTGTCAAAGAGTTGGAACTCTTCGTCACACAGATCGATTTCCTTCCTCGTGTGAACTTTGTTGCACCTGAAAAATCCGACAATTTACTCTAAGAGAGAATGAAGCTCGGAACATTATCTTAACTTCAATCGACAGACAAATTCCTCTTGAAAATAACGCAAAATTACTATTTTGTCTCTCTGCCTCGTCCTTGACACCTTTAAACGAAAAAGTGAAGCCACATAACAATTTTTTAGGTTCATTTCAAACAGTTGCTGACGCCGGATCAAAAAGCAAACATGAGCAAAACATAAAAAACATTACACTTGTAACTCTCTCGAGAGATAACGTAATCTAAAATTTGCGTAAAATCACTGATTTCCAAGCTTGTCATTCACAATCCAATTTCAATTTCCTCCACCCGTAACCAGTCATGTTCCTTTTCAGATCATTCGTACCTCTATAAACTATTATATTAAAATATTTCCATCTACTTATTGAGTTTTTTAACGTCTTGACGACTTAAAAATGTTTTGAGGTAGCGGATTTCTTTCAGGAATCAGCCTGCAGCCACATCATGATATGTTGCTGAATTTGGTGCCTGGCCTCCACCAGCTGTGGAGGGTCTGACGGATTAGCTGGATACATGTTGGCGCAGTGAGCAGTACCTAGAACATTAACAATAAAATAATGACAACTTTCAGTAACACAAACACGAAGGACCAGTTATAATTTATTACTTAAGGGGAGTGGAGGTGAGAAAGATTTTGGGAGTCACATGGTTTTCAGGGGGGAACGGAGAGGGGTCAGTCTTTGCCAAAGTATAAAGGAGGATTATACAAAATTTACTCCCAAGTACCTACCTATGAAGGAAAGGGGGAGGGGAGGGTATAAGAATTATGCAGAACTATTGGGGGATCAGGTAAATTTTACTTTGACAGTATAAAAATCCTTCGACCCCGCACGTGAAAAATGCTGACATTACGGTGACTTTTCTCTAAGGTTTCATAGCGTCTACTTTGGAAAGAAAAACGCACGTGTAGCTGGTTGTTTTTTGAATGCTCCCACGCTAAAATACTTATCTCTCTTGGCTTCACAGAAACTGATGTAAACACTGATCTCCACCACAATAAAGGAAAAACCTTAAAGATACGTTATAGCAAAACCAAGAACAACTATCATAACAAAAAAACGTGCTGACAGTTTTTCGAATGCATGCATATGGCTAAACGCGTATTGCACCTTCTTTTACACACCTTCAATAAAAACGGCTTGTTCTGTAGCAGACACATCCTTTGTTATACCAAGTGCATGCCACGGATCGATGGAGCCATTCGGGAAAACGATCTGATTTACAGATAAACAATAAAGAAAAATGCCATTTTCACACATAACACTCTGAGAAACTGTACAAATGAAGAGTCTGGAGGCTAATTAACTGTTAAGTTTTCGAGTTAGCCTCCCATTGACTAGGTGTTGGGAAAAACACAACACTGGAAATGATCCTGCAAGGATCCCTCGACCTGGAGTCCAACGCAGTAACCGCTTAGCAACCGCGTCTTCCGAAGAATAATGGTCACAAAAAATGAAATTCATAATTTGTTCCACAATAACATCAACTGTGATCTTCTTTAAGGATACGGGAAAACGAATTTTGGTGTCTTTGTGGTGCACGAAACCCAGATGGAAATATGAGACATATACGTGTGAGATACCAATTGATCCGAGTTGCATGTCAACTGACCTTACTGGCGGCAATGCCATACCCTCCGTAGTTAGTATTTGTCTGAGTCACACCGCTTCGGATGTTCTCTTCATTAAACTGGGCACCATAAATATCCATGCATTGTTGAATTGAATACCTGAAAAAAAAACATTTGGAACATATGTCTTGATAAAGACAGTATTGGAGAACAGGTAGGCGATGTTATGTTTCTGAGATACTATATGTCCAACAGAAAAACACTGAGGAGAACAGTAAAAGTTGTTTTTCTCTTGACAACAACGTTTGGCGTCTTTGATACATAAATGGATCTGGTTGTGGCGGAAAGAGTTCGTGACGCGCTTTTCGATTGAGCGTCAAAAAACCAAAACCAAAGCTGTCGCAACAGCTAATCAGAAGAAAGGAAAATACCTTTACGAGCCAATGAGAGCTCAAGTAAAAGCAAGCTAACTACCTAAAGTGCGGGAAAACGCGGGCGACCAAGTCGTGATTGGTTTTAATTTTGCATTTATTTGGTTGAGAGAGAGTGGTGCGGGTGTTGTAGACCAATCACAGAGCGAAACCAATGCAATTTGGATAACTTCCCAACACTCAATTGGAAATTAATCCATTACATTTTTAACTAGCAGTCATTACTTTGAAGCCAGGACATTTAGGTGCGTTGAGAGGAATTTCTTTCAAGCACACCGAGATTCTATCTTGATATGATGTACGTCTTTGTTTTTTTCGGTAAATACTGTACTGCTATCATGTACATACTTCAAAGGGAATAGATCTCCAAACGGCTGCTTCTCAGAGTCTGAGGTCTGATAAAACCCAAATTCTGTGCATGTCTGATACATCCATTGGCGACCTGGTTAACAACATAAAAAAGCTTTTAACAAAATAAGATAAATAAAGAACCAAAATAACACGACTTTTGTAAATATTCTTCTTTAAAAAGAAAAGCGCGAAAACACACAACTTTCGTGCGCTGTTGTCGGGTATTATTGAAGTTCTCCACTTCGATCTCAGTGTTAAGAGGGAAGCATAGCAAAGTCGCCCGAAATAAAAATATTACTCGTCAGAAAAAAAAACATTCGTAGGACATACATGTAGCCAAGAAAAACGTTTTCTAAGTTGTAGTAAATGACGACCATTGGGGCGGCTGTCACATTTTTTCTCGAGAGAAGGACATCTTCCCTAACTTTTCTCGGAGACAAAAATTAAAAAGACATCTGAGAAATTACGCAAATGCTTATCTCAAGTAACTCTGGACTAGAAACATCACGCAATGAGAACGTTACAGCTTTCTATGTAACCGCCGAACACAATTCGGCAAATGCGCGACTTTCTGCGCAAATTTTTAGTCGCCATTTTCCCCCTCTCGCCATGGCGACCAAGATAGTCGCAACTTAATTAGAGCACTAATTAACTCTGTACAGCATGTGAATATTTAAAAATTTCATGATGAGTTTACCTCCTTCAGATGCACTGCTGCTCCAAGATGTGTTCTGTAAAGCTGCTATAAAATTCTTGTAGTTTGAATCAAGGCATTGTTCGTGGTATGTGTGAAGCATCAGCGAGTTCACTTTAGCATAACGAGCTAACGGAGCTCCGATGCCTTCGTCATTCATGATGCCACACAATGTTCTAATTGTAATGTTAGTACCGATGGCACCCTTAAAAAAAGCATCAGAGTAGAATTATAACATTCGTCACGCACCACTGCAATGGTTTAAACTACAGTTAACTTACCCCAATCTATTGTACGTAGATCGATTAGAAGCTTCCACTTCCCCCAAATTCGGCCCAAAACTGCGTTCAAATGCCCACCCGATATTGAACGGAACGATTTTTTTCTGTGACTGACGAATGTTGTAAAATTTAGCAAGATCATTTATTAGGTTCTAGTGTTGCCGTTGGATTTTTTTCGCTTGAAGGCATCGTCCTATAATGTGAATATTGTCTTTCTAAGCCTTTCTCTAACAAAAGCAGACTCTTCACCTGTAAACTCCTCAATTACATCATGTGTATCATGCAAGAAAGGCCTGATACTTCCGGTTCAAATGCCCCACCCCACCCAGGCAAGTTCAAATTCCCTACCCCCCATGGGCTGCCCAAGAGGAGGGATGTTGAAACTTCAGATTGATTCTTTAACCCCTTGGAGTGACTAGTATCTATTTTCTCCTTAAATCAACTCTGAATCAGACATTAATGTCACAAGAATAAAGGAAATGACCACCAACAAAAGAAGGTCCTGATTGTTACATAAATTCTCTTTGTCAACACCTTAGGAAATGTATAGAGAACAGTATGGAGAATGTGTATACTGATGTGTAGGGTGTAGAGGGTAAAGCAGACAGGTAATGAGACTGAGAAAAATGTCAAAGGAGAGATATGACTTGACTTAACACTAAATTCTCAAAACAACATCATAAGAAATGTATGACAGACAGTAAGGAGAATAAATAAAAAGGGCTTGAGAGTGAAAGAACTAATCAGCTTAACTGACCTCAAATGCCCTGTTATCCTTGTTATATTGAACAACACCAGCAAAATTTCCAGACAAATCATTTGCAAAAGTTGCCACGTCATTGACATTGTCTTTATCAAGGGGTTCACAGAGCCTACGAGTAAAATGAAAATCAATTAACCCTTTAACTCCCATGAGTGATCAAGAGATAATTTCTCCTTACAATATCAATACAATATCAACCAGATAAGTGATGAAAATAAAGAAAAATATAAATTTGGGGATAATTAGTTAACCCAATACTGAATTCTCTGAACTAACATTATAAGAATTGTATGGTTGACAGTAAGGAAAATGACAAATCTGATCTGAGAGTTAAAGGATCAAGGTATTTGAGTACAGTTTATAGGGTCATAAACCAAATATTTTGTATGATCACCGATGCTTATTATGAGGGAAGTTACAGCAAATATACATGACAACAAGTGTTTGTAATTTTGTCATGTCTGTGTCAGAAATAACTCAAAACGAGGTTGCTGAGTGGCTGACAGCGGACAGTGAACAGTGGTTCCTTTGAAAGTTTCACGCAAAAGTCACCCATACTATCCTAACTTACTGTTTCAAATTTGGAACAAAATGAAAATTACTGCAAGTTAAGCACGTTCAAGGCTTAGTCCATGCTCAGATATCGTCAGTAATGAAAATGAAATCATGACAAAAAATCCAAATACAGGAAATTTACTCACTCAAATAGCTCTGTGAGTTGCTTTGCACCTTCCTCTGTGGTTAGTAATGCCTGCATTGTTTTTGTTGCATTATCAATATTTCTCACACAGTCTTGACCTGTTGTTTCAAGTGAGGCAGTAACAACATCCATGTATTGAGGAAAGTTGACTGTGGCAAAGACAGGAGCACTTGAAGCAACAGCCCCTACAAGGAAAATGAAAATACATGTACACATGACAGAAATACTTCACTTACTTTTTAAAATTCAGAAAGTGGTTAAAATATGTGGATCACAATCAATTTGTCTAAATGACCAACTGAGGCATGGCGCATGTTCTCGTTGGTAAATGGGTAGGTGTAGATGGAGATATGTTAAAATGATGGTGATGTTTCAGATCTATGCATACTCTGACAGGTATGATATAAAGACAGCTAACCACTCTTCTTTCTGACAAACCTTTTGAAACCAATTATGGTCAAGAATTTTGTTATAGTTTTGATTAACTTAGTAATTTGTCCAGAGACTTCTGAAATGACTTGACTTAGTACATTGTTATCACAAGCTTCTTCTAGTTTGCCAATGTTTTGCTCAATGCAAACATAACAATGTGATTACATTTTATTAGTTATGGTTTTATCATATAAATTCAGTAATGACAGTAAAACAGTCTGAATAAAGGGGGTAAGTTTCTAAAGAAAGTGTGGTGCTGTCGGTGTCAGTGGGAGAGGACAACAGGGCAGTTAAGTATTATCAATAAGTTGAAAGTGTAAATTGGCTACCATAAAGAGTTTTAAAGCTGAAGTTTCGAGCATTATCCCTTCATTAGAGCAAAGGGCTCTGACAAAGGGCTAACCTACAAAACGCCAGCTTTGAAACTCTTAAAAGAGGCCAATTTACGTTATGAACTCAGTTGATAATACTAACTTACCCAGTGAAACAGTCTACCCACCCTGCACCAGATGCGGATACTTGAGTCTGTACCAGGCTGATAATGACCCAGGGTATGAGCCACCAAATGATATCCATTTGCTGTTTGTCAGATTAAACTTCAAAGCCATTTCCTGACAAAATGTTGCCAGATCTGCCAATGCTTGTTCACTATTTAGATACTTAAGGCTTGAATCACTCATATCACTGGAAAAATGGAGAACAAATTTTGCATCAGTGGCTTTTTTGATAATTTTTCAGGTGAGGGTAAAATTACCTAAAGCCAGTTACAGTGTAGAGGGAGGTCCATGTTTAGTTTTCAGGTAGGGAGGCCCTTGCATCCGCATTTTGTGTTTCAACCACAAAAGTTGAGTGGATACTGTATTTCTTTGCTCTCTAATATGCTCCGTCCCCCAAATAAGCACCCACCCCCCAAACAATAACTTCAAACAAGCATCCCCCTCAAATGACCCCAATGCACCCTTACTTTCCTAAAGAGTAGGGATAGAAGGTAAACCTGTTTCTACTGCCACTTTATTCAAAACTTTTTAAGCTTCATATATTAAACAGAATCAGTACAAGAGAACAATGATGAAGTACCCTCTTCCCAATTATTTAAGCTAAAATTTTAAATAAGCACCCAGGTGCTAATTCAAGAAAATAAGGCAAATAACAAGATGTACCTAACCCTTTAACTCCCAGGATCTGATTGTAAATTCTCCCCTCTACTTGCTACACATTTCCTTGTAAATAAGTTGTGAGAATTTGGTGTGAGATCAAGGTAACAACCTCTAAATGATAAGTTTGAATATTCTCATTACCTGTCTCTTGGATGATATAAGGATATTCTGGGGAGAAGTTTCATGTTGATCATTTCTGAGAGTTAAAGAGTTAATCTTTCAGTTTTGAGAGATATACCACCTCTGCCCCTCCCTCAAGGCCTACATGGGACATGGCCAACAAGCTACATGCTCAAGGCCTGCTTATAAGAAAACCCAAATCAATTTTTGACTAGGCTGTTCAAATTTCCCCTCACTTCCTGGTAGGTATCAGCTGTGCAAGTCAGTGTGCTGTAAACTAGGAAGAGAGGTCCGGTCCAGATGACTACCATTTCAAGTCATGGTGATGTATTAGTGGGCAAGAGATTTTAATTTTGTAGTATCTCTCTCCACTCACGAAGCCCCAAAAATTACTGAGTGGGGGGAGGGGGGAGGGATAATCTATGATGGACTGACATCTAATCCAGGGGGGAGTGGCTATTCACCTGGTCACTTCACACTTCAGGATCCAGATAAACCTTGACTACATAGACCACTATGCTTGAGTGCAGACTTTATCTTTTACCATCCTTTTTCTGTTATCAGATTCCTCTATGGGAAAGAAGAACCCTCTAAAATTTGCCCCACTCTCCCAAAGTATGACTTTGTAGCTCAGTTGGTAGTGGTGCGGTGCTAGTGTCTAAGAGGCATGAAGTTAATTTAATTAAATCCTGTCGAAGTCTCAATTTTTCCAAGCTTCTTTTTTGCAATTGCTGAAATTGCAGTCCACCTGCGAGAATGAGTGTCATTTTCCTCCTTTCAAGTCCTTTAACCTCTTAAAGTGATTAGCATCTAACTTCTCCTTACAATATCATCCCTGAATCACACATTAGGGTCACAAGAAAAAAGCTTATGATCACTAACTAAAGAAGCTCTTGACTGTTAAACAAATTCTCTATGTCAGAACCTTAGGAAATGTATGGAGAAAACTATGGAGAATATCCATACTGATATAAGTGTGTAAAGGGGTAAAGACCTTGGTACATAAATACTCCACTATTTGTTTACAGTTAATCAAAAGTTTACACAATCCTGCAAATGTTCTTCCCTCGCTTACTCACCTCGTTGGGCGACTTTCGCCGTAAAATCTATGCTCCAAAAGGAAGGTAAAAGCACCAAAATCTTCAGCATTCTTCATCATATCCCCCACAGTCAGCCATATAGGGTTCGCCGTTCCTTCTCCACCGATCATAACGAAAACCGGTCCATCTGGTTTCGTGTGGAAGGCGTCGTTATAAAAGAACCTCTGCTGCCAAGTTTTTGTATTGGAGTCATCAAAGTGATCCAACCTCTGAGTAAACCAATGTGCTTCAGGAAGCTTTTGATTCACGTGTTCTGCTGCAGGAGCAACTAACATGCCACCTTTCGGTCGGCCACGGAGAAATCGCAGCGAAGCATGGGAGCAGTTAGTTAGTCCAAGAACAACAGTGAATATCAAGCAAAGTGAGGCACTCGAGGCATATGGCATGTTGCTTGGAGTTGGTGCGAAACTGAAAGGATGCTTCAGCTTTGAAAGCGTTGTGACTTGTCACAGGGATATCACGTGAGCGCGCTATTATGATGGCTAAAATTACCCCAGACTTGCCAACTTTCTCGTGTCACGTCGTTCGACATCGCTGCGTCACGCAACTAACCCTGTGGATTTGTGTAGCGCACAATAAAACTTTGTCGAACATTGAAATATAGAAAAATCATGTCTATGGATGGGTAAAAATCAGTTAGGAGGGAACACAGAGGAAAGAGGGAAGGGATTGGTGTTGATTTTGGTAATTATGGACACCTTATTCGGTGCATTCGATGGTGCAGTATGCGCGGATATTTTTGCGAGTTACGTAGTACTTTTCTGAGCTCCCTCATTGGCGAGGAAAAATCGGAGCAGTGAGCAAACTTTCCGCTCATATTATATGCTAAACCATTCAAGGACGAATATATCATTCCGCAATTTTATCTTTTTAAAGTATTTTGGCCTCCTTCAAAACAAGCCAACTGGGAGCCGGTCAATGTGTTGGGTCCAAATGAACCATCCAAGTGATGAATGATGATTTTAGGTATATGAAATTCATATATTTGCACGGCGGCGAAGAAACTAAATTAAGAGATCCTCGCAGCTAAGAACACTACTGAACTAGTAATTGAAAATAGGACCTGAAAAAAAATTACTTTTCAACTAGAAGTTCAGTAGTGTTCTTGGGCTGCGAGGATCTCTTAATTTCGTTTCTTCACCGCAGCGCAAATATGTGAATTTCACATATCTAAAATCATCATTCATCAATTGGATGGTTTATTTGGACCCAAAACATTGCTCAGCTCCCAGTTGGCTTGTTAGCTCAGTTGGTAGAGCGCACCGGCATCGCAGAGGTCATGGGTTCAAATCCCGTACAGGCATGAATTTTTTTCAGGTCCTATTTTTAACAACTACTTCGGCAGTGTTCTTAGTTGCGAGGATCTCTCAACTTCGTTTCTTCACCGCAGTGCAAATATATGAATTTCATATATCTAAAGTTGTTTCTTTTTCCTCCATATTTTATATTTTTGCGTTGTATTACAGTGGTGTGTACCATAGTGTACTTTGCGCATTCTGTCTGTTCCCTTATATGGTGAGATGACGGAATAGTGGAATAATTAAGCACTTGTGATACCCAAGACATATCAAAACTATTTGTAGAGCACGAGGTAAACACATTTATATTTACTGTAAACAAAAGGATAAAACGCTAATTTCCTACCCGGCTTTTATATGGGAGCTAGGAAACTTAGCAAAACCATTGAGTTTTGCTTTTGTTTTTTTTTTTTCGCCAGAGGAAATAGTCGAAAGACCTTGGAACTTACAAAGCAAAGAGACGAAGCGCGGCTAGTTAGCCATTTGCTAACTTAATTTGTGAGAGCTCCGCCGTTTTTTTTTTTTGCATTTTGAAAATACAATTATGGCCTTCTCGTGACAAACCATTCTCGCCTTGATGCATACTTCGTCACATTTTCTAAGGTACTGGGCTCTCAAGGAACTCCGCTCTTTCGATGAATCTTCAAAACAGCTCGTCAAAATTTACTTCTTTAAAAAGCGCTATTTGACTGTAGAAGTTCAACTAATCCCTCACGAGGCGGCAAATGGCGCCCAGCAGGGCCTCTTTCTCATCGTATTATTATTATTATTATTATTATTATTATTATTATTATTATTCGTCTCTTATTCTTTCCCTTGGGTCAATGAAATAAGCGCAAATAAACGGCCACCCGTGAGCTCACCGCTGGCGGCGATGCAAGTGGAAATAAGGCATATGAAGATGAGGAGCAGAGGAATTTATTTTTATTGTATTTCAATTTGAATTAACCACGCATTTAAATTGCTTATTGACCGTCAGAACATGCCATCGCATTGCGTGACTGCATGGTCCTATCCAACAAACGAAAACCGCATACAGTGGTCACTGAGGACTCAGCGTTATTACTTACATTTCACTCTTGACCCTTCGTGAATAACACGGAATTCCTCGCTTTCCGACCGTGCCTCGAACGGAAATATTCGCTTGTCGCGAACAAAGTTTTAACAGACTTGTGATGCACTGCACGTACCAACGGTAAATCAGCAGGATCGAGTCACTCTGCATTTGAACGATTAATTCAACTGGAAGAATAGCCAAGCGTAACTTTTTCTCCCTTTGCTACAGGCAAGGCAAAAAAGAAGGAGATTGAACTCGGCTTCGCACTAGCAATGCCTAATGTGCTGACATGGAGGTTGATAAGATTAAAAACTTGACTCCTCAACCCTTACACTCCCACGAGAAACGAAGACAATAGTCTCCTTACAATACAATATTAAGGAGACAAGTGATGAGAATAAAGAAAAATATCAATGAGGGGATTATTGGTTGATCAAATACCAAATTCTCCAAACCAAAATAGCGATGATTGTAGGGCAGAAGGTAAAGAGAATTACCGACGGAGGCCTTTTTGTGAGTGAAAGGGTTAAATCACCCAGCTGGATTAAGGTCAAATTCCATGTCGCTGACCAATAGCAAGTTACTCATTGACTCGCATAACAGACTATGCCGGGAAATAGAGAATGCTTGTTGTCCACGGGTAATTGTAAAAAGAATCCTTGAGTCAAAAGCTTAAATGACATGTAAGCAACAGTCATAAGTTCACGAGGCAGAATGAAAACCTTCTTTGTCAGTAAAATGGTCTTTGACTTTTCGAACGTTGTTATTGTCTGTCTAGACTCTTACTGGGGGTCACCTTACAGGACCCCAAATGTGATTTTAAAGTATATGTTTACGCTTAGTATCGCTGTAAATCCTCGTAGATGACGCAAATCGTTGAACATTTCAGCAAAACATGTTAAGGTGAAATTTGCAAAATTTGTTTCTTCTTCCTCGTTACACTCAGTATACTCGAGGAAGGTTGGGACGGATTGAACTACAACATCTGAGCCTCTCAGCAAACTGGTTAACTGTTTTGCACAAAACCCAGATACATTTGTTTTTGAAAATTTTTGTTCTCCAAAATTTGGGTGTTTTCCAAATACCCGAGGAAAATAGGGACGAGTTGAGCTTTTCATTGAACTGATGAACTATTTGGCACAAAAAGCCAATTAATATAATTTATAAAAAATTTTATTTCTCTTGCCTGTGGATAAAACGCCATCTGTACAGGTTTTTCGTCTCGGCTTTAGTTTCGTGATGACCAAAACTTGTCGAGTGTTAAAAATAGCGGGTTTGTTTTCCTTGACGGGAGCACTGTCTCCAAGGAAGCTTTACTCGCTGAGGAACTTCCACGCTCTTTGTTTTTTCTGATTGTAAAGTAAATAAACTCACAAAGATTTGAGTAATTCCCGGTTAATCCGCACTCCGTTTGACCTTCGGCTCAACTAAGGTTTTCCAGCGTCGCCTGTCAGGAACACACTGTGGAGTTTTGCTCAGTGCCATCATGTATGTTGATTCAGGGCCTACCCGGCCCGCTCAGAGGTGAGTTTGGTGAATGTTTCTGTTCATCTTCAACATGTTTCGGAACATAACGAGAGAAACACAAATAGGGAGAAATCACATGGCTACGCCGCTCTCCAAAATGCTATATAAGAGGATTATTTATTTATTGCCTTTTTTTTTTCTTTCCTACGCTCAAGAACTTAAGTCGAGTTTTGCGTGAGGTCGGTGTACAATAGTCCACTAGAAAGCTACACTTAAGCCGGTCCTCCTTAATTTGTTTTCCTTGTTGCCCTCGTCTGATTTGTTTTTCGTTTTTGAAATCTTGCTCACATGTTGAGAGGTTTCACGAGATTAAACCATTCGTTTTTCATGAGTGTTAGGCAACTCAGTTTTTTTTTGTTTCAATATAAGAGAGCGACTCCTTGACAAGTTAGCTGCATGTAAATTCTTGTCAATCACAGAATTTTGATCTAATAAACAAGAGCTCCATAAATGATGATTGATACCGGAAATTAGGCCCCACATCCCGCTGCGAATCTCAAGACTTCACGAAAGAGTCACGACAAAGACACATTCTGATTGGCTCGCTTTATTATCCGCGCCGGTTGTCGTCACGGTTGCAAAATATTGTTTTCTTGCTTCGAAAAAAAATTCACAAAAGAGTCTTGACGGCGTTTGATGGCCTTTCTGAGTCTTGTTGGGCATATGTGAAGGCATAAAATGAAGCAGCTGTTCTATTTTGGGCTTTTTGTGTGTTTTTTTCTTCCTCAGAGTGGCGTTTTGTAGGTAAGTGCAATAGAGTTGGAAAGTAAGGCTTTGATCGAACCAGTTTCTAACCTGACTTAATTTAGATCAGTTGTGATTGCCTAAGCAATAAAAAGTTAACTTGTGTATTGATCAGCAGCGATTGATTAGTTAAACATATCACGACTGATTCTCAAAAATGAAATAGCGACTAAGGCTTGCAATGCGTGTCTCCTTAGACGTTGTGGAAACAAACCGGCCGGCAAGGAAAGGCTTTTTTCTCCATAAAGTTATTCTAGACTTAAACAGATTTCTTTCATTTCAAAAACAATTGTTAGTTTTTTTTGCTTTGCTACAATTAAAACATAAGAATAGAGAGGTAAAGGTAAATATTTATTTGTGGCAAATAGCTATCCTTTTATGTGCGTGTAGCTAGCGCTGTTTACTTCTCATGTTCAGTTGCGATCGTAAGGTACACTGATCACGCGAGCAAATGATAAAGTGGATCTCACCAGTGTCATAGGAAGTTCACTTCCTCGGAGATCGCTTTAGATTTTTATCTTGGCCAATTCTTACAGAATTTTGATTAAAAAAATTGACCCAAGACGTATCTAAATTATCTAGGCAAACATTCCAGCCTGCTGGTTTCTGTGACCACTTTTCGACGCAGCTTGTTTTTCGTTTGCTCTCTCAACAAAGAAGGGACAGGAGGAAAATGTGGGATTTTTTTTTCTTGTTCATATCTTTCGGAAAAATCAGACCAATGATAGCGCAATTGTTTTATTTCTTGTTAATCGCATTAAATGCTGCTGATAATCTCTCTACCAATTAGCAGTCTAGAGACTCTTTACGCTATCTGTTTAAAAACAATTTTTCGGTGTGACTTTGATCGTAAGATTTCACCTGTGCTTTTGAAATATCGTAAAATTGAGTTTCATAGGCGAAATTGAAACAGTGTGCGAGTACCATTTCTTCCTCTGTATTTTTTTTAAAAAAGAAACTGCAGTCAAATTGCCTTACCAGACACGTTTGTTACTTTAATGGTCTATAATGTTTGGTATTTCCTGCTGAAAAGCCTGAGGTTGTCTCAATAGATTTGACCGGGCAGAGTTCTACTTGCTCTTTTGCTCCGGTGTGAATTCTATGTTAGCTTCTTTATGCGTCTGGCTCGGAGAATCTTAGAAATACAAGCGTTTTTTTAAGTATGGTGCTGGCGAAACCCACTCTTAGTCTCGTCCTTTCTCGTTGGTGAAGACATCATCTTGTCTCACGGCAACGCTCGTACCGATTTAATTACTATGAAATGCTCTTTCATTTAAATCATCGAATACGAAAGGCATTTCTTACACCTTGGCACTGACTCTATTAAAATCACTTGAGATGTGGGATTTGTCTAAATTTTGGCATATCTTTCAAAGAACTCTTCCAAATGTCAAATAGCCAGGCACTTTGGAATCTTCAAGTGAAAACGCAGAATGGAAAAGTGAGGCATGCATTTTTGAAAACGTTCGGAAAGTAGCTGATTTATGAGTTGCACCATAGTTTTTAATGAAATTTACGCTAGTGATGCTGATAGGGTCCAAAAGTCCACTGTAGTAATCAGTTTAATATTACTATTACGTCATATTTAAACCCCTTAAAAAGATAAATCTGTGGATCTTTCCTATTTACCCAGCTTTATTACTATTTCTTCCGAAACTGCTTTGGAAACAATTCAAAGCCGACCACATGCAACATTTTGTTTGGTAGTGAGAGAACTCCAGGACTGAGACAAAAAAAAAGACAATGAGTAGTTCATTTGATTCCTTCCTGATGCGATTTACAGACTTGTGATGATAGCTTGTCTAGCCAGTGATTATTTCAGTCATTATATACTCTTTGAAATGAAATATTCGTAAATCGAGCTGCGTCTAAAAGGGTGGGAGATGGTCGTTGAGTGGTGAATTATTATATGGTCTAAACTCCCAGTATGGTTACAATAAAAATTATAGTTCTCCTGTATTTTGGCGCTTAATTACATCATTTTCTTGTAGCGTCTTTTTATGCTCAGTTCTGCAAAAACGATTCTTGTAAACGTCTTCAAATAAATGTCATTACGTAACACATAAGAAAGCATTTCTTGCTATTACTTATTTTACACATGTGAGTCAGGTCATCTATGAATCACCTTGAGCTCAAGTTTCGAAAGTACTTGACTTTTTCATAGTCAGCAAGAAGAAGGCAGATTTGTGAATGATTAATCATTTTGGAGTCTAAAACCTGCACTAGTTGATATCAGAACACATCACTCACTATTGTTGCAATTTTTTTTGTCGTTTACTTGCAAAATTGTTATAACAAGATTTTTTCAGCTCTGAAATGCATCAATCCAAACGTGTGCGGATAATTTATCACGGAACACATAATAATAAGCTTTGCTTGAAATCAGGGTGTTTGTCTAATCTGGGAATACATTTCAAAGCGTAAGTTTGTGTTTCTACAACTATTTGACTTTAGCTTAAGTTTTCAACGCTGTAACTACTAACTAGTAGATTTTAAGCAAGAAGCAAGTCATTTAGCAGGCTGGTTGGGTAGACGTCTTTGAAAGCATTTTTTTTCATGATTATTTTAGCTGGTGAGAAACCAAAAACAGTGTATTGAGACTAGATGAAATGAGTGCCAATTCTTCAAAAGGATTTGAGTCACATCACATGGTGAGGGGAATAAAAAAATACTTCTATCATTTTTCAGCCGATGTTACTAAATTTCGTTTTCATCAAAATATAGGATCGATAAAGATTCAAATTCTTGGCCTATGATGCAAGTCGATCTCCACGTGTTCTTCGGAATTATTTTTATTTGTTCGTTATTGCTTTCTTAACAGGATAGGAAGTATTTTATTAAAACTCATCACGCGATTCTCGCGATAGAAGCATTTTTGAAAAGCAGCATCATAAATGTTATACACTTCAATATTTGCAACACGCAAGTGTATCAGGAATGATTTTTGTTTTGAGGTAAAAAATAGATCACTTTTAAATTGAAATTAACTCTTGCGTGCCGCGAAACCTTGTAATGATTGTTTTGCATCATGTAATACCTCCTGTGTTTTGCAACTAAAGATACTTTATAAACCGATTCCTACCCATGAACAGGTTTACAATCGTCTGGAGTGGAAATCAGGATTTGTGAAAGATGGATCAAAGTGTCGTGCGACTCACATGAGGTCTCACGGATACAACCATCAAAGGAATAAGCTCCTTTGTCATCTTATCTATGTCCAATCTATATTACTATAGGTTTCAGATCTTTTTAGCATTTAAATAATTGTCAATTAAAATTGTCTATGCCTCTCAAGTCGATGCATTCAGAAAGTAAAGATGGCCATTATTCGATCCTTGAAGAGCATTTGGCTCGGATTTTCCAACCATCCCTGCTCTTAAAGGTTGTTTTAACGTACCGGACGGACCAGCTTCCAGTTAGCTTGTTACTAGAGTCAGTTGCTAGAGCACTGCACCGGTATCGGAGAAGTCGTTGGTCCGAATCCCGTACAGGCCTGAATTTTTCTCAGGGCTTATTTTCACTACTGCTTGAGTAGTGTTCATTACTGTTAAGATCGCTTTCAATTTCATTTCTTAAACTGCAGTTCACATATATATAATTTTCATATTTTCACAGTCAATGCACCATTAGTTTGGTGTTACAAATGCATCTGATGAGATGCTCTTAGTTCCTACACGCTAAGTCCATTCATCCAAATTTCTGCTTGACAAACTTCCTGATCAGACATTCTTTTTATGAAGAGCTCTTCCACTGATTCACCTGATCTAGCCGTTGTATAATCGTATATTCGTGTCTCGGTTGATAAGGGCATAGCATGATATATTAGAGATCTCACTATCATGTCAGTGTTGTTTTTCATGAGCATACGAAAATTATCATGTATGACCCGTCCGGCCCCACGCGTGCAATACCATAAGAAACCATGATGGAAGCAGACATGTAGGGCCGGACGGGTCGACGTGAGCTGGTCCGGAAAAAGTCTTCCAGCCCTGCACTCATACGGCTTTGTTGCAAATACTTAAAGGAAAAACTGTGCTCGGTCTGTTATTCATGACCTCGAGCCAAATATTTTCTCTTCCGGCCCTCTCCTCCAGTGAATAAGTAAACATGTTATGCATGCGTTACGTACACCTTACACCCCAAATATTTTCTCTTCTGGCCCTCTCCTCCAGTGAAAAACAAGTAAACATTTTAGTCTGATAACCTGTTTAGACACACACTTTATTAAGGGGAGAAGGAGGAGAATGAATGTTAAGAGGGCTCACCAGGACATGGGAAAACAGGTTCCTTCAGTTTTCAGTCTCTCGCAGGTAAACTACTTGATATGCAGGCAAATTAATGGGCATAAAGTCACTTTCTTGTAATTCATTATGTTAAGGCTGCAAAATATTCAAAGATTTGCTTGAATCAGCGTTATCCGAGTGTTATTGTAACTAATATCGTTAAAACAACTGATTTCCTGCATCTTTATCTTATCTCGTCAGACTGTAAGCCTGCCTTCACCAAGACACCTAGCAGCAATGGCAAAGTCTATGTGGATAAAGGCACCAACCCATTTGATTTATCATGGGACTTCAACACAGACGGAGAAACAGTCACTTGGGTGGATCTGATGTACAAAAAGAGTGGTTCTCCAGACGTATTAATCGCCAGAAAAATTGGAAACCGACTCCAAGTCCCAAAAACCAGTAATTATTATGGAAGAGTTACCGCTGGAAGAGGAAAAGCCACCTTTGTACTATGGTACATCGCTGAAAGCGACGAAAGGACATTTGAATGCAAGGTTTACTTCTCGTCAGTATCCAACCCCTGGATAATGAGTGCTGTTAAGCTTATAGTGGTTGGTAAGTCTTCGACTATAGTTATCATGGCAATTACTGCAGTCAGCGACAATATGCTAAAAACAGCAACATTTCTCCTTCTCCATATATATTAAAATCTTTCTTTAATTTGGCTCGCCGCCTCAATATTCTCCCCCTCAGCCATACATCTTGTTCGTTTCCTCCTTCCCCTTAAAATGTTGTGTCCCACTTGTTTTGATTACGACGAATGGTTATAAGGAGCAAGAATAAATGGAAATGTTCGCTTGTATTAATCAGATACTCGACCGTGACTTTTTTTCTCCTTTTCATTAGCTAAAAAAAGGAAAAATTGACGACTGTCTTGATATTAGATAGTGTACAAAACTCAAGTGATATTTACCTCAGTTTATCTCTACTCCTGTAAAGTTAAACCGAAGATCATACTTAGGACAACTCAAGCCGTCGTGCTGACAGAAGGAAACACCAGAACGTTGCTATGTGTTGCCAGTGGCAACCCTAAACCATCTTACACGTGGTATAAAAACAACGTTAAGGTTCAGGAAGATCCCAACAACTCCAACTACACATTAACATCAGCCAACAGATATCAGACAGGCATGTACCGATGTGAAGCTGTTGTCACTGCCCCTGCACTGGGTCCATATAAGGCTGACTATAACGTCAGTGTCACAGTAAGATGTAAGTACGAGACATTCGGTTTTGTTTAATCAGCTTTATTAGCCTCAACATGGAATTGATTTTCTAAAATTTACTGTAGTATTCCAGCTGCATTCTCCAATGATACATTTTGGATCCACTCAGCCACGGGAAGCTTTCACGTTGTCTATGATGTTCTGACAGCCACTGGTCACAGAACTTCTTTTGTCTTGATGGGCAATCTGTCGATGGATGTAGCCCCTTCTCCCTACGAAATTAACGAGCTTAAGACCATATTTTGGGTCTTATATCAGTTCTTGCTTTCAAATTTTGGTTTTGTTCAATATCTCAACTGTAAAGTGTTATGGCTTCTGACAGTTGTTTATAAGCTTCATCTTATAACGGAACAGAAGTAAAAGGAATCTAAAGCCTTTTGGAATAATCAAATAGAAGTCATACTTACAGATTTCATTTAAAACGAAGGTTTTTTTAAAATTAAATTTCTTTTTTCAGACAAGCCCCAACATAAGGTTAACAGTTTGGAGCGCAACGAAACCGTTTATTTGGGGCGTGATGCTATGTTTTATTGTCGAACAGAAGCATTTCCTATTGCAATCCAGTACAGCTGGTTTAAGGATGACTTCCAGATTTCCAATTCAAGGGATTACACGATTGATAATTTTGGTTTTGGTGAGAGCAGACTAACAGTGAAGCAAGTTGAAAAAAGTAGCGTTGGACGATACTCTTGCTACGGAAATAATGACGTTGGAAATGGGAAGAAGAAATCAGTTTTCTTAACTGTCCATTGTAAGTTTTTAACTGATGGATGTCCTTTTCTCTTTGAGAGGTATCCACACCTTAAATACATGCTATTTAAATGATGAATAAAGGATACAATAGTTATGTTAAGAAAATGGAGAGGAAAAGCGTAGAGCCACCATTTAACAGCAGACTTAACTGACGCACAAACAAGCGAAGTAAACAGATCGATATCATTCAAGAATTTATAGCACATGGCAACGATGATATCTATCAAGTTTTGTTATCATGATGTTATTACGATAAGCTCCCCTGCTGCACGGTCAAGAAGTGAATGAGCAAAGCTTTAATTACCATCCTGTTGAGATCATAACAAGAAAAGTTGTACTTGAATAAACTGATGCCTGTTTACCATACGTTTTCCCTATATGGATCCTAACAGTTCTTTTATATGCGTTGTAGATGCTCCTCTTCAAATAACTTTGACACCAGATCCAGCAGTTGTTAGACTCAATAAAACTATGATCCTGGCTTGCCAAGCAGACGCTCTTCCATTACCTCGATACTCGTGGATGTTCAACGGAAAATCTCTGACTAAAGCTGTTTATAACACCTTAGAGCTAACCAGTGCGCAAGTAAATGATGCAGGAAACTACACATGCGTGGCAGAAAACTTTTATGGACGGAAAAACACGACAAGAGTTGTTAAAGTAGAATGTGAGTTGTAACTGCAGTAACGCCTTTGCCTTAGCATGGCACAAAACTTGCTGAGGGTTTGCTCCATGATATACTCGGATATATTATCTGGCCGAGCAGAAGGATGGACATTAGCGTTACGAAAGCCTTACAAACTGACCTGAGACTGCAAATGCGCTTTTTTTTATCACCATAAACCCAATTCGAAGTAATAACAACTTTGCACATGATTTGAGCTTTACATGTGATTGGTGTTCATGGTGGCGCGAGTTTTCAAAACCAATCACAGAACCGATTGAAACAAAACCCATGATTTCTTTTACTAGTTTCTTAAAAACTGCTATTACAATTGTCCGCTAGTTAGTCTTTGAAATCGATTTTATGGTGAAACTCTAAAAAGACCTCGGTGGGTCTTTTTTTTTTCATGGAAATGACAGCTTTGTACAGCCCTTCTCCTTTTACTAAGTGACACTTTAACTCACAAGATATATCAGTACTTCGTATAATTCTTTTTCACTTTGTTAATCAGATGCACCTGCCGTTCAAACATTTACTACCGGAACTCCTAAAAACACTGTAATTCAAGGAACAACAGTAGAGGTCACGTGCAGCGCAAATGGTTACCCTGCGCCAACGTTCACCATTAAAAGAGGAAATGAAATCGTTAACAGTACGGGAGGGAGATTTGTAATACGTAACATACAGCTCAAGGAAGAGGATGCCATGTACACCTGTGAGCCAAATAATACGATAGGAACAGGTGCTAAGAGAGAATTGAAGATTACAGTGCAAGGTTAGTACCATTGCCTTTTTTTCGGTAAAGCAATATTGGTTAACGTTGTAGAGCAGATGAGGTTCATTTTGATGCTTTGACACGCACTTTTGATTGAACTTGTGACTGTATAGATGTATTTCTTTAGTCCTTTCTTTTGAACTTAGGTAAGTTCAAAGAGCTAATTTTCTTTCTTTTAGTGCCCATTAGGCCTACCTTCTAGGAAGGCTGTAGGCCAGGGTCTAACCGTTGAATTTCGATTTGAACGTAAAAGCTTTCGATCGTTCTCACATATGCGTTTTACTCATAAGATATCCGGCATATCCTTTGAAGAAGCATGTAAATTGAAATTAAAAAAAAAAGGAAAGAGGGAAGAAAAAAAAAACAAATGAAAAAGAAAGAAAAAGAGACAAAGACAAAAACTGATGTAACCTTATACCATCAGACACGAAAGGAGTTGGTATATCCATTACACAATAGGAAGTGCAAGTTTTGAATACAAATACGTTTTATACACATTTAATACATTTACCTATTCTTTTAATTTCCTATCCTCTCCCAGGCATGTCAATTGACTTGTCTAGAAACTCTTTTCCAACCAATTCCTCCTTTTGTCACAATTTTGGCATCGGCAAGAGCTGTTCATTAACCCCGCCCTCTGCACTTTCATCCCACAATGATTTATACCACATTACTCTACAACTATACAACAGTAGGCACATGCAGTCATAGACTGCATTTTATTTATTCTCTGTTTCCCCTTTAAACTCTGCAGAGCGGCAAATAATTAAATATCAAATGACAAAAAACTACTACACCAAGTGACTTTGATTAATCTCTCCACAGTTTCTCCGACATTTTCTAGAAAATTTCCAGATTCCAAAAAGACCAAAAAGAGGGAAGGTGACAGAGTGTCTTACCTATGTGTAGCTGAAGGCAAACCAGCACCAAACATTACATGGAATTTTAAAGGAAAGAATCTTACCGATGAACCACCTTTCGTTATCCAAACCACTGTTCTGGTATCGTCTGATAAACTTAAGACGACTCAGTCAAGCCTTGCCATCGAAGAAGTAACTTGGAGAGAAGGTGGTACTTTCTCCTGCCTCGCATTTAATGATGCTGGTCAAAAGATACAATCCACAGAACTGGAAGTCGAGTGTAAGTTCGAATCACTCAGTGGGAAGCAATAGGGACCATTTCCGACCCAATGCTACTGAGTTGTTTAGACTGTAGGACAGGCAAAATTCCTGTGCCTTTTCAGGCGAACAGAGACAAACGTAAGGAGAGCGATAAGAGTGAATCATACTATGGGAGAGCGTTGCACTTTTTGAACGTTTCTCGCCTGTTTTTCAGCTTACGTTAGGGGTTGGGGTAGTAAAGGGAAGTTTAGCCTGTGCCATGTCCTTGGATATAAAGATGATCAAAAGGGGGATGGGGACGACAGAAAACGGCATACAAGGCAAGGCAGATGGGATGCCTATCCATTCATGGAAACCTTTTAGCAATTCCGACTGTACCCATCTACACACCCGTGTCGGGAGAGGAAATATGAAAATTGTCACAACAAACAGGATCCCGTCAGGGCTTGAGGTGGATCTCTCCATCCGTTGTTCAGCGTAATAATCACTATGCCACTATTAAGTCCGCTGTTGAAGCCATGTTCACACAAATAACATTGTTGTTGCAGTTTTTGCTTTTGACCGGGTGACGAGGCGATAGTTTCAGTCGCTTATTACCTGTTGATTTTTTCTTCAGATCGACCAGTTGTTCAGTCTTTGGCGGATCACCCCAAAAATCTTACTGTGGACGAGGGAAAAAATGCAACTTTTTTTTGTAGAACAAAGGGTTATCCACCTACAATTTCTCACAAGTGGCAGTTTAACGGTGCCACAATTTCCGGAGCTAACTGCTCTGCGTGTCCATCAATGACTTTCACAAAATATGAAGTCAATAAAATTGACTCAGGATGGTATTCCTGTTCTGGAAGTAACAATTTGGGTGAAGGTCCTTATGCAAGAGCTTATCTAACAGTAAAGTGTAAGTGAGAATGCGTTGCACATATTCGTGCCTGTACTGTTCAACAGAACGAAGAAATAACTTACATAACTTCGAACCGACATCTTTTGTAAAACTGTTAATCGGAGCCATGTAGTATACCGAGAACTTTTTTTTTTTTTTTTTAAACAAAAAATGAACTTAATAAGAAAGAAGAAGAAAAAAACAGTTTACATCAAGCCATTTTGGTTGCCTGTCATAGGAACATTAACGTTCAATTTTCTATCACCTATCAAAGTCTCTTTGACATCTATAGGCAGATAAACTTATTTTCTGCATTTGGACATCTTTCTCTTTAGTTCTTATTTCGTACACATGAACTGTCGTGTATGTATAGGAAAAAAAATAGAATCAGAATGAACTTTAGCCATCTGTATTTCATTCTTCATCGTTGCCCCTTTAGATCAGTTATAGGCGGCTAGTAATGGTTCGTGTGTAGACATAACGCTCAGTTTGCAATCTGTTTCATGCCAGTCTCTCAGTTCCCTTTTATAATAGTTCTTTTTCCATTTTGGTGTTCATTTCTTACAGAAATAATACGTATTGGTTTCCACCACATTGTACATTAGATCTGCATGTTCATGGTAGAATAACTGAAAGGATAACACTATTTCCACCTTTAAATTGTGCACTACATCCTTTCATAGATCGTCCAACAATTATCTCCTTACGAGAGGTGTATACAGTAAACGAGACCGGAAATGTTTCGATGTTGTGTCGAGCAGATGGCTTGCCAAAACCTACAATAATCTGGAGAAAGAAAGGCAGCGGTGAGGTTCTTGCAAATGGTGAACAGTTTCATCTCCTTAACGCCCAAAGCACTGATGATGGTTCGTATTCTTGTACTGCAAGCAATTACCTAGGAGAGGACACAAAAGAGGTCATGTTGAATGTTCAAAGTAAGTTATTTGTGTGGTTCGTTGAACCTTGTACTGTAATAATAGAAAGAAGAGAAAACACAAAGTATTCAGGCTTCGAAAGGGTTTAACTTGTGCAGTACAGATACCAGTAAGGCGCTTTCACTAACTGAGCTACTCAGTTACACGTTGGGAGCGAGTCAAGGTAAAAAGTTTTTTTAAAATCTAAAGGAAATTATGAAAGTATTTCTCATAAAATATCAAATAATACCACTAAATATTTAGATACTGATAGAAGATTTCCATACCAAGGCATCAGATTTTCAAAATGTTACCCGCATCCCTGAACCTACATCTTCAAACAATCTCCACTCGCGGTAGACGATAGCAGACCTCACTCATTTACATTGGGAATCACTGTTGTGTCAGATGTACGTATTTCATAGTCGTGTGTATAGTTAAACAAACTGTGATGTCTATGTTTAATTAGGAAGCGAAATAAAAAGGTTATTCCAAACTTCTGAGTTAGGGCTCATTGATATGGCCTGTTAAACGCAAAATTCACTTTTGTTATGTCTTAAAGTTATTGTAAAAATGATTAAACACATTCCAGTGGAAAATGGGAAAATTTACGATGCGTAGATTTGTACAGCTGTGTATTCACGTACAGGTCCTGTCCAGCCAATGCAAGAGGAACTTAAGAGGAAACTTAAAATTTAAGAACCTCCTCTACGCGTGGTTAAAATTACATATCAGCAAAACAAAGTGCGATGTTGATTTTGTTACAGCGCACCCAAAGATCAAGATCTCCAGCTCTGCAGACACAGTGATACCTGGAAATAAAGGAGACGTGGTGACCTTAATTTGTACCTTCAGCGGCAAACCGCTTCCTCGTCCATCATGGAGAAGGCAACTTAATGGGACGGATCTGGGTGTATTTAATGGTTCTTACGTGAAAAACATCTCTCAGAAGTACAACTCCTCTTTCCTGAACGTGATTGTCAACAACACTGGTGAACATTTTTATTGTGTGGTTTCAAACCTTCTCGGAAGTGACAACTTAACATATACCATACGAAGAAGAGGTACGTGAAAACGAAATCTCTGCATACTAAGATTAGTTATAACGTTTTTCACTCTCACTCTTTAATTTCCTTTATTCCTAAAAGGCCAACATAATTTGACTCATCAAATTTGTCTAAGATCTTGCACTGCTGTATATTGCTGTAACTGGGAATCATTAAAGAAAACAACGTATTATTTTATTGACAGGTGTTCCTGATCCTCCAAGTGATGTGAAACTTTCAGCTTTTAAGGTAGCTGATGCTAAAACTGTGAGTGTGAATGTCACCTGGACACCTGGATATAGTGGAGGATATGAACAAAAATTTTCAATATATTTTCGCGTGAAAGGAAGCGACAGTAACTTTGTTGAGAAATATGTTGGACACTCAGAGGACAACTTGTACACCATACAAGGACTTAATCCTAAGACCGAGTATGAATTTACTGTGCAGGCTTCCAATATAGCTGGCCTCAGTCAGAAGTCAACTTTAGTCAACGTTGTGACGCCAGGTAACCTTGTTCAGACAATTTTGCGTTTTGGATATCTACCTTTGATTTAGTTTTGATACAGTTTTTTGCACTTTTTCTTAGAATCCTCAATACCAGCCAACAGAGGAAAAGGTATGTTGATTTCTCCCAGCCTGTAGTCTGTGTTCTAAACAATTAAATGTCTGTCAGAGTAGACCGATATCTTTGATTCAGTGAGAGACTACTTCTGAAAAAAATCGCGAGTATTGTTTTCCAAAGATAACCCCCTACAACATTTGCTCGTATTTCTCGGAAATTGTCCAAAATGCACGCGGATTTGCTACACATTCGATTCTCGTCAGAGATTAGATTAAATGTACTGTTCATACTGAGCCAACCTTTCGGTATGTAAATATCTGATCTCGGTCTTCCTAAAATATGCGGTAACTGTTAATCTATATTTGCTGTGTCATTTCTACAGTCAACGCAACAAGAAACCCAGATGACGCCTCGCTGATATTGGTTGAGTGGACAATAGAAGACAAAGTTGTCAGAAGATTAAATCTTGAAATCCAGGAGGGTGGGAATGGTGACTGGAAGCCTGTTTCTGGAGCAAGTAACATGAGTACCTCCATAAAAAGATTCACAGTAGGAGATCTCAGGGTTGAGGAGGTATACAGATTCAGAATGGACATGAGAAGGCCAAGGGAGCAGAGACCTGTGTATGTTTTTAGTGACGTTGGTACGTACGTATCATAGTAAAGAAATACGAAAGTATTAGAACATCATTCAAAAATTTTAACTCGTGAAGCTGTGTGAAGAAAAACGCCTGTAAAACTTAAAACAGGTCAAAATGAACCGAATGAAAATCGTTACCTCCTTGAAAAAGGATATGAGTTTCGGTTGATTTTACCATTAAACTCCCCGCGTCATAAGTTTAGAATTTTTGGCATTGTTAATCTTGGAAAGAGCAAAAAGGTAGGTATCGTTTTTAGATAACTATGCGGGCAATGTAAAGATCAAATGGTAGCTGATGGTGATAAAGATACCAATCATAATAGTCAATATTCATATCAGAGTATAAAATTACACTTCTTAAATTTAGAATACATTCCCATGATCCTGTCAATACTCTTAATTTCAATTTTTCATTGAAATATTTTAATTATGGGGCATCAATGACTTTGCAACAGCATGTTTTCCGGATGTCAGGAACAAAACAAAACAAAATCTCTACTTCTTAAATGGGGAGGAACCTTGTTTTTCTTAACATTGTGCTAAATTTATGTGAACGAACCTCTCTTTTTCTCTCTCAGTACCAGCCGGTCAAATTAGCCCCATACCAGAGAAGAGAGAAAAAAAGGTGTTTCTCTTCCCAACATGGATGATTTCTGTTATTGCCGGTAGTTCAGGAGCATTACTTCTTCTCGTTCTTGTTCTCTGCCTTTGTCGCTGTAGGCGTCGTCGTAAAACAGTTGATGAAGGCAAGTAACTGCCAACAGTTTCTCTTTTTCGACCAGTCAGTTTGCTTGCATTTTACGTTTGAGATTTGAAGGATTTATATTTCTATATGTTGCTTTAAATTGAGGGTCATCAGCATCTGGCTTTAAATTGAACCAGGCGTTCAAAGTAAAGACGATAGAAATTTGAAATACTAAAAATTCTTTTTAAACTTTCTTATAAATGTTATAAAAATGTCAAGAAATTAGAGTTTGGGTATTACAATTTATTATCTAATTTGTTTCTTTTAGTATATTTTGTGGTGTGAGTTTTTTTGTATTTGAGGGTTTTACGTAATCTCCTCAATTTTGAAAAGTTTACTTGAAAGGAAAAATGAGAGTTCAAACATTCGCTCTAATGCTGATGTTCCGTTTCAGCAAAGTTTTTAAACTTCATGCCTTTGAATTTGACGCTTATCAAATTTGCACCGTTCCTCATTATGAATTTTGTCTTCTTTCCTGTTATAGTTGGAAAAGGAAAAAAGAATCCCACTTCAAGGTATAAAAACTTATCAAGCTATAGTGCACTTCTAATCAAGAAAATATAATAAAATAGCATGATGTTTGTCCAAGAAACAGTTTTTTGGTCTTTGAATATGCGATCTCAGTAAATAGTCTGTGTTTCGTCTCTCCATGAATGTTTTGAATACCGTGATGATAATTGTGTCTTTAAAAGAGGTTTCTGAAAATCGGTCTGCGAAGGTGGATAAAAGCGTATTTGGGAAGAGTACTTATCCTGTATAAAATGGTTCAGCGGTTTAATATCCTCTTCAGAAGTTTTGGATTAAGGTCGCCTTGGTAACTCTTTTGGGGGAAAAGAAGTAAAAGTAGCAACTTTTTCGGTTTTATAACGATATCATGAATTATCAAAATCTACCGAAGCCGAAGAGTGAGGCAGATAACAGACACGAGACTGATAATTCATAATATCATGCAAAAAAAAAAAAAAATTATTTTATCATACATTTTAAAAACAATCTGCAAGTAAAGACACTTCTCTCTGAGTTATATGTTTAAGATCACTACACGGACGAGGGGCTTGGAAACTAGGCTGACATTGCACACGACATGATAACCGCAATAACCTCAGATATTGGGTTCTTATCTCGACTTCTCATGCTTTTGAATATTTATTGAATGTTCATGACCAATCAGTTTTTCATGGTAAGCCTAATGTATAATAACATCAATAAAGGGTTTCCGTGTCTGTTTTTTACCCAGCTATGTTGTAGGCGGTCCAGATGTGGTTTCAACAATGGAAGGGAGAGGTTCGTGTGGAGCCCAGGAATCTATTGAGGACGATCCGTTCGTTGTCGCTGCATCCATGCAGGCCTTGGATTCAACGAATGGAAGAAAGAAAAACCTTGATGCCACTATCAATTACGGATACGAGCCTGAAGGTACAAAAAACAACGCCTGCCACTGTTTTAGCGTATTCACATGTCGCATCAAATTTATAGAGTCACTATTGTTCGTTTTCTGACCTTCGTAAACAAAGAAAAAATTAGTGTTCACTAACGATCATCTTTTCCCGCTCTCGATTCAAAAACAAGCAGAGATACTTCTCAAGCCGGGGTCGCGTCAGGAGAAAAATGGCCACGTTGTGCAAAGCAAAGAAGAACCTGAGTCAAACTCAGCTTACCCGGCCAAAGGACCACAAAGAGATTTCAACACATTTGCAACAAGCGTTGAACTTGTTCGAACTCCAAGGTAAGTAAACGCATTCTTTGACGTATTTTTTAAATTATGTTTTCGATTACCTTTTTGATAAATTCAGAAAAAAAGTCTTATGTAGTCAGTACTTATTTTTATATCAATCCTGAGGAGAATTCAGAAATAGCCAAACAATCTTGAATATTTTCTCATGTCTTCTCACCTCTCAACCTACACTTATTTAATCGATAAAGTCTTGACGGCACTCGAGGTACAAGTGACATGGTGAACGTATCACTCGAGTACTCAACAACAATAATTATAACAATATTTATGGTAATGATAATAGCCGGATCGCCTGTAAACAAACTTTAGATAGAGGAGCCAGTATTTTAGCTTAGAAATTTCCTATTCAAACTCTTATAAATTTTAAGGATTGGCAAAAACAATTAAACATGAAGAGTGTGATGATTATTAAAATAAAATCCGATGTAACAAAGTGGCAAGAAACTATCGTGACGAAGTTCCTATTTAGAACATGAATCCGGCCGAGGATTTACCAAAGCTATCCTCCATAGTTCGTTTCTATTAATGAACTAAAATACCAGAGTTTCATACACTGGGGTCTTCCCTTAACGGAAGTTATACATATATGGACATGTGTTATGAAAAAAAAAAATTAAACATAACCTGGTGTCAGCAAGTCATCATGCTCAGAGGAGACTTACGGCTTACGACTTACGGGGATAAAGATTGCGCCGACGATTATCTTTCGAAGGGCTCTTACTACTAATTTACTAATTATAAAACTAGTTATTTTTTAGCTTATTTTATTTCCCTCTTTATTTAATGAATCTTTATTGTTTAGCTACTTAAACAATTATAAATGTTTGTTTGATTTTTATAACCAGTTTTTTTTCTTTTCTTTCACGCAGTAGAAACACAACGGCCGTCGAGAATCCTGTCTACGCAGCAGTGGACGAAAAAGAGTCTTCTTCTCAACCGAAGGCGTCAACCTTACCTTTGCCTTCCAAAAACCAAAACGGTTCCATTAAAGGACCTCTTGATCCAACGGTATATTATGCTACGTCACAAAAGAAAAAGACAACCAAACAGCCTCGTCAAGGGCCACTTGAGTCAGCAAATGCTGGTATGGATGCAACGGCACGCACACATATTTAGTAAATATTTTCATTTCAACTCATTGAGATGTGTTCTTTTTTATCCCAAGAATCTCCACTGCACAACACTTCAGAGGATAAACCTCAACAGGTGCCTTCGCTTGGAGATCTAGATCTGGATGACCCTTCCAGCCTTCCAGCTAGCGAAAGACCACCAGAAAAACCTACCCCCATAGCCATGTTGCCAAGCAGGCATACAGCCAACACCTTCCCAAGAAATCTAAGTAAGATTAGGGTTTTGTTTAACGCTCAGCATAGTATACTTAGTGTTCTTATAAGGTAGTGCCTGAGCAACGGCAACAACAGCGTATTCACTTGTTTAAGTCACTGGAAAATTGAAAGCGTTTGATTCCCGTCTAACAATTGGAATGGAAAGGCTTTAGCTTCGCAAGCTACAAAAGTCAGTCTGAGTGATTTTTGGATTCGTTGTTATCAGATTTTCATCACGACCGTTTCCTAATGCTATTATAATGGTATTTCACACAGATAAAGGTTCACCCGGACCACCAGGATTTTTTTATATACCTGTGAATAGAAAGGCACGAGCTCAAACTTACGGAGCAGATATGCCACATCAACCACCTCCGCCAGGACTCCCAAGAAAGGTAGATGGACATAAAAAAATCACGTTTGTACCTAGTTTCCAACTCAGACGTGCGCGTTTTCAAATATTTAGGTTGGTTTTACTTTAGGAAAAGATTTGCATGTTTTAGAGCTTTAGATTTTTTTTGATAGTAAGTTTATTTGTGTTTGTGATTCATATTGTTCATTCATTGGGATGTCCCCTTTTTCAAGAAAGACAGAAACATTAGCAATGATAAAAAAAATCCATAACCATAACAAGGAAAACATGCCTTGAGCTTATGCAATTAGTCCCAAGAAAGCTATGTACAAAATATAATCAGGAGCAGATCTAGAAGTCGCTATTTATACTTACGTCTTCTTTTGCTGTCTGTGGAGTGGGGTCCTGCGATTGGCTACAAGTCGCTCAAGCGTTGTAGCTATTTGGCAACATCGGGTTCCATTAAAAGTATAATAGGTTACCCTGTAAATCTTTCTCTGTAATTAACTTAAAAGAGCTACCCTTTTTTTTTCCAGCGCTATGCAACCGTTGATGGTCAATTAAAGAGGCTAAACTCACAGGGTTCGGAAGATTCTCGAAGCTCCGAGTCGACACAAAAGACACACGCCTCAAAACCGGAAGAACCGACGGAATGTGAATGCGACATAAGTGGAGTGTCGAATATGAGTTATGTTAGTTACCTGGTGTGAAGAACATAGAATTGTTAAGATGCCACGTCAGTTCTAATTCGTAATGTGTAAAGATTTGAATCGAGAGCACAACATGAAACTAAAGGACCTTGCACAATAAAGGACCATACGCATGCGCTTTTGTTTTTGAAAACTCGTCAACACTACCGAATCTTTTGGCTCCCTAACGAAAACAGAGACTTTTCTAGACGTATTTTTTTTTTACAAAATGCAACCGACAGAGGTTTATTTGACTCAGATATCAAAATAGTGTTTTGATGCCAAGGAAGAATCAATATGTTTTTAAGAAAAAATTTGAGTCCTTTACTTTGAGCTTAGATGTAAGAGTATTAGGGAGCATTTCAAAGCATAAGCATGGCATTCCCATCGAGCATCTCGTTAACAGATTAGGAGACTCTATTTTAATCGTTTGCGAAGATGTTTATATGTTTCTCTAAATTCGCTTACGAAGATTGTCCCTTTGCTTAAAAAGCTCTCTACTGTACGTATGCATATATTTTTTTTATTAAATCGTGCAAACTGTATATTGTAGCTGAGTCATTAGTAAGAAATAAGAAAATTGAATAATCGAAAATGAAACCCTAATGAGCTTTCTTTCATTTGTAAGCATATGCTTACATACCATATTAAAAGAAGTAATGGTAGCCCTGGGGAACCGTTTAAGCTTCTTTAAGAAAATGCAGACTATTCCAGCCGTATTCAGTTGAAAAAAAAACCAGCTATCCACCTTTCAGGAAGAGTTTTAGGTTTTACAAGAGAAAACAAATGTATTGCTTAGGTTGGCAAATTGAACTGTTACCCTTAGTTCTAAACACACCAGGAAAATCCATATAGCTATTATTAGTATTTCTAAACATCAACTAAAAAATATAAGATTTTTCAAATGAAAGTATATGTTATGTCTATAATAAATGTTAAGCTATAACTAACTTAGCTTACAGCGAAATCCTTTACGAAGGTTATATTAATACTACACAAGTCCACGTTGTACGTGCGTATAAATCTTTTTTTTTTTTTTTTTGCATAATTTTAATGTTTTAGCTGAACTCATTCCAAATGAAATTAAATAAATAGTGAGAACTTTACAGCTAAGGGATATTTTTTGTTGAGACATGGCTGGGAAGAGGAGGAGGGAATGGGGATGGATTGGTTATATTTGTAGAAATACAGTTCCCGGATTGGTCAATCTCCTTCAGCTGACTGTCAGAACGCCTCCTATTAGAAGTAAACAAAGAAGAAAAGTGACGCGTCTTCGGACCTGCCAAAAACTCGAATAATGACGGACAAAGCCAATTGCAAAAGGCCAGTTCATAAAGATATGCTCCTCTGGTCATCGCCAAAAAATATATATTTAAGTCGAGTTTCTCATATTCTTACACGGGTAGTCCATAATTACTGCGAGATGAAAAAATGCGGGCTGAGACTCTGTTACGTCACAATAAAGTGCGTAGGCTGCTGAGCAATATTCAAAATGGCGGCGTTCATCGTCAAATTCTTTCGCACATATGAAGACATTTTTCCAAATCCAGATTAATCTTTGGAATATCAAACCTCGGACAGCGTCATAGTGACATACATAGTGATACTTTCATACTTTTTATTTTGCGATGATGGAAAGTATAGGGTCCTTGGATTATGCTTCTCCTATAACTTGCAAGCCGCCACTTCATGTATCAGATGCATTTTCCTGGCTCACGTCCATAGATATATAATGACAACAACTTAGGTAATACATTCATAATCAACAAAGAGGCTACTTAGGGAAAGATGTTTTTTCGTCTTCGAATCCCCATGAGGAATCGAACCTCAGACCTAAGACTATTTGGCTCTCATTTTAACCATCACAATAATTTTTTACAACACAAGACAAGATTCGGCGACCTTGTACTTATTATTAGTAACTTTGGTTGTTAGGAAAAGTCGTACCTATTGTAGCATGTAATTTTTACTTTTGCATTTTGTAAGTGGTTGGTGTGTTACCTAACTGGCTTTTACGGACCAATTGAGATTGATTGATTGATGATTGATTGACTGACGTTGCATTTGAGTGTCGAAAGTAATTCGAAATTGCCTTGGTTCTGATTTTTCGACTCTTATTTGAAATGCACTCCAGTAACTTAGCATTTAACCATTTTCTATAAAATAGACTTCATCTAAATGATAACTATATAAAAGTTCTAAACGTTACATCGCAAATTGTTCTTCTTGCTCCGCGTCAAAGGTCACCTAAATGGGCAATAACCGTTTTTAAAAAACGCATGCAATCAGTTAAACAAGGCGTGTATGAAGTGCCTCTTCACTAAAGGTCACGTTTTTTTCGCGATTAATTCTTGATCCTTGTCTTTTGCTTTCAAGTGATGCCAACTTGCTGTTGTTGACACTTGATCTTGACCGTAATGGACCAGAGAGTTTAGGAGAGTATTTGAATTTTTTTGAGCAGAAAGGCTGACGTTTTCCCTGTTTTGCAACAGATTTCGCAAGGAAGACAAGAAGTCGCGTTTGAAAAACGCGTAAAGTAGAGGCTTGGCGAAAGATGTGATGTATCGAATGATCACAACTGCTTCCATGACATTGAGCAAAACTTGGATTCCCATACCTAGTAATAGCTTGATGGTAAAGTAAGGCAACCAAGAGCATGTAAATATGATCGACATCGCTGCGAAAACCAAGATACACTTCCGGTCACTTTGGCTTTTTTTCTTGTTGGTATGTTTTTCTGAACCAACGACGATCGCTGCCTATTAGATATCGTTCTGAACATTGCTAAGAATGCGTGGATAATATATATGTATGGCAGGAGGAACACTGTAACAAGGCAAACTGAATTATAAATGAATCCCTTAGTTACCACGTGGTGTTTTAGTGGACGGACAGTTGCCAAGTACTTGAGGGCAGTAATAACAAGTATGTGATAAGCACCAGAAACAGCTAGTAATGTATGCAAGTAGTATATCCCATAATTCAATTCTTTTGGCAAAATCGCAAAACTACAGACAATGAGGTATGGAATGGCGATAGCACCAGTGCTGAAGTCACAAACTGCCAAACTGAGAAGCACGTAGTTAGAAGAAGTGCGGAGAAGGCGACATCGATAAAATAAGGCAAACACAAGTCCGTTAGCCAGAACTATTGCTATGGCAATTGGAAGAAGTTTGCTCAGGGTCTTGACTCCATCGTCTGAGTGTTGTTGAGGAAACTTTGAGGTTGCATTGCTGTTAATCATGGTTACTTCTGATGAAACGAGTGAAGATGAAAACACTGATAGAAGGAAAAATTGTAAAACTAAGACAATGCTAACAAAATCTGTACCTCGTTTAGCGTAAGGTGTGTGTAAAAGTGTATATGAAAGTGTGTTGTATGAATAACGAGTCATTCGGTTTTTTTGGAATGAAAAGAAAGTCTACTGAAGTCGACGAAGTCAATGAAATCGCCAGCAAAACTAATGGTAAAATTGTCTCAGGAATACAGACAATTAAGTCAATATCACTTTCCATCAATCATGGTGTAAATTTCCTCTGGGAGTACATTTTTCCCTCTTGGTTATTGATAACAATGTTTTCAGAATCGAAATTTTACTCGTTGAAATAAAATATGTATGATTTAATTATTCATATCGGCATACCTGAGTGATGCTCTCACAGCTTGTAGTAAAAACTTGGCCTGAAAGTGTAAGGAATACAAGGAAGTGATGTAGGTTCCTAAGTTATATTGGCTGAATCTTTCCTTTGAGTCGGACATTAACTTTTATCCCATTGCAAAACTTTTTTAAACTTTGAAATGGACAGCTTTCTCACAAACTGAACCATTAGAAGGAAGCGACACGTTTGCAAAATTGTGTTAAAACCAATGCTCATTTTAATTCTTCAAGACTTATTGTTAAGACGTAGGCGGAATCACTGAAGAGACTACGGGAATCATTTGAAAACGACTAAACATTTGAAATAATCATGCACGTATTTAGTGTGTTGTATGAAACTTAAAAAATGCGAGCCTCCAAAGACTGGAAGTTAAAAGTGGGTTTTTCCTTATGTTGGAAGTTTCCCTCGTCTTTGTAAATATTGTTTCGCCTTAGGGCGAAAACTTTTCCACCTGAATGCATAAGTTAAGTTTCCTGCTTAAGACATTTTATGACAAGAACGCTACAATATTCATGGCTGTATCAGCTCACCAAAAATCTCGTAGGTTTCTGTGCAGCGCCTGATCTCCTCATACATGGGACGGAAAGGAACTGAAATAAAAATTTTTCGTAACAGTAACTACGACAGTATCTTTTTGTTTTGATTACGTAATTGCCAATTTAATTGTTTCTTACTGTGCAAATGTTTTCTTGTCTTTGTTACACCTTTGAAATAAACGTTTTTTGTTTTGTCTGGTCTGAATGAACAAAAAAAAATCGAGCCTATTTCCTAGAAAGTTATCAAAACTTGACGGGCGTTAGAGCTTAGTCCTTTTGCATTGAGCAAATCGAAAGCAGTTGTACAAGGACATGTTATTAACTTTGATAATTAAACCACCGAATCTTTAAATGCAAAATGGAAAAATCAACTCTAATTTACCAAAGCTGAGATACATTTACCAAGATTTGCTCAATAATTTTAGCGTCGATCTCAATATGTGGGTCATTTGCCCATCCAAACCTCGGAACCGTAAGTGAGGTGGAAAATTTGTTTTCTTCACTCCCAAAATTTCGAATTTAGACTTTGTTTAAATACAAAAAGAGTTATCGTGTGTCATTCTAACTTTAAAAAAAATTGGTTCAAAACTTCCTATTGCAATTGCTAGAATTCTGCTAATCCAATTATTTGGCTAATATATTACTAAAGTTTAAGTTGACACCTCTTATTGAGAGAAAAGAAAACAAAGGAAGAAAAATGACACGTCATAAAATTAAAATTTGTCCTTGTGTACCAAAAAAATATATAGAGACATGAACTTTGGAAAAAGCTGTCTTGTTTTCAATAAAGTTTGCTCTCATTTTTATTTTCAATTTTTTTTTCTCTTAGATTTATTCCTTAAAGTCAAGACGACTGTCGAGTTAAATCAGGCACGTCACCGTTTTAATGCTGAGGCAAGGAACAAAAATGGAGAAGAATATAGCAAGTTCTCGATACTCCACTTTTGCATTGTTGTTGGAAGGTACACCAACGGCGTTCAGTTCAAGCTGACAATTAATCCAACTTTTCGGGGAATTCTGAAAAAAATACGCCGTTTATTTGCGAGGCTCGATTTCCTCAATAGATTGAAGGCTTCCAGAGTTTTAACTGTTTAGTTGAAAGAATGGCACCAGCAGAGCTTCTCATCGTTACTATTCAAGTTTCGTTTAGAGCAGAAAAACATTCCAATAACGTTTTTAGATGTCGCTTGTGAGAGTCTATAACTATAAATTGCCGTTTGCGCCCCCAAAAAAAAAAAAAAAAAAAACAAAAAAAATATTTGCCAATTAACAAATAGAGAAGCCTTGACTGTGCTCTGTTCTGTTATAAAGCACGCAGGAAGCGGCTAGAGCACGAAAGAAGTGTAGGGAGAAACACGAGACGTGGTCGAGTGTTTCTCCCCACTTCTTGAGTGCTCTAGCCG